GAGGGTTCAGCAATTTTTCATTAACCTTTTTTTTTTGATATATAGGAAATTTATTACACTTTATTTTTAATGAATATTGTGACTCGTGTGAATCAAATAAGGAGTTTGTTTAAAGGTATAAAAACCAAAGATATTTCATAACTGTTTGAGTATATAAGAATAGTTAAAAATATATTGCACAGCTTTGCTTGACTCTGCGAAACCTGTATTTCGTAGGCTCAAAAGGCAGACAATAAATTTCAACGCTAGATAAAATAAAAGCTCGTGCACCTTTGCACATTGATCGGTAAAACAAACTTTACCAATTTTGTAACGTATAAAATAAACGTAACTTTCAACCCATCCTGAATGCATTTTATACGATTTAAACGACCTATATAAGTAAATTTAGAAACTGCTCATACGTTATAAACAGCAATCAATGCTAACAATACTACCCACTGAAAAAAATCAGGTAGTATACGGAAAATTTTTTGTAAACAAGAATCATTGTGACAATGAAATGCCGCAATTATATATACAAATGAATGCAAGTGCCAATTACATTGTTTGTAAAATTTGAGGAGCGCGGTGCGATAAATTGAGGAAGGCATTATGCTTTTCACACCTCATCGTTAAAGCGCTGGGGAATATATTGCAAACACGTCTTATAAGTGAATTAATAAGATGATTTGATATTTAAATTCTCCAGATAGTAGTGGGAAAATTTTGACATTTTGTTTTTCGAAAGTGTAAAAGTGAATTACCTTAAATATCACATGAATATGAAATTAATTGACGTTCGCATTTGTGCATGCATTATGCACTGAACCGAAAGCATTATACAGATGTATAGCTGACGTGTACGCACGTACAAAGGCCTCTTATATACTTTCAAAGTAAATTTCCTCTGAAAAATAAAAATCAAACATTCGCCAGATATTTCTTTTAGAAAAAAACATTGCACAAGTATTTTGTGTACCTGTATACGTGAAAATTGATTATACGTAATTATTTTATCAATCCTATCCGCCTATCATTTTTTTCTATCTATTGTAAAAAAATAATGAGCCGCCAACAATACACATTGAGATTGGTTCACGCATGAAAAGGCGCAAAAATTTGAATTTCAATGTTTTGAAACACTTAGTTGCATATAGAAGATGCATTTTTTTTAATAATATCAATTATTTTCAAACATTAATAATTAATATATATCAATGCATTTCCAAAACGAATTAGAGGAAAAATAGTATGTAAAAATGTGTAGACTCTGAAGTTGATACTTGAAAGTTCACGTAAAGAGTAAATAGTTTCAAAAAACATGAAATTATGTTTAAAAACGTAAGTTTCATGGTGTTTAAATATTATCGAAAATAATATTCCTTATACTAATTCTAATAAATTATATTTTTTTTAATTTGCATATTTTTGCAAAATCATTGATCGACACTTGATTGTTTTAGCTAGTGGATACCAAATGAATATTGAATATTAAATATAAATATTAATCGTTATAAAATATTTAAAATCCTAGAATTATTCTATTTCTGTCATGTATTAGAAAGATAAAATTTACAAGATTGAAAAGTGTTCATTTATTTAAACGGCAGAAAGCTGTATTTTTAGACACAAAAACTGATACTTGTATTATTAACATGAGAAATCCGCACCAATGATTCTGTACATTATAATTAACACTTATCGTCATTTATATATAATTTTTTTTTATTTTTTGTATTTCCTTGATCAAAAGATATAATTTTGTCGGGTCCATTTTAATCAAATTAATACCGCATGCATAACACCATTCTGTTTACAAAATACCAAGAGAATGCACAACAAAAGCATCGTTTTCTCGCGTGATTAATATTCTTCGCGTGTACGCATCTCTCGTGCGATTGCAAAAATCGTCTTGTTCGCTTGCGCGCTTTTGGCCTTGAATCCGCCTTATCAGCGATGACGCCTGCGTGCCGGCCAGGAAGCAGTCAACAGAGTTCAAGAACACCACGCCGCTCGCGCCAAATGTTGCACGCGTCTGAGCAAGTCACGAAAACGCAGAGCGCGCGAAACAAATATATGCAGCGAGCAAACGTTAGCCTAAAAGTACACGCGTGCAGCGTGCTCGCGAAAGCTTTCTTTTTATGTCAACGAATGAAGGCTATTTGCAGACCGTCGAGTTCCTCCTTATCTGATTTCAGTTTAATTGTTTCATAATAATTTTTGAAAAAGTGCAACAACAACGAGGAAAAGTATAGAAACTGCATCGATTCGAGCACTTGAACAAGTCACAAAAGAAAATACATCTACGGATGCAATCTCTCGCATGCGCTTATATGAAACCTTCTTGGCTTCCAATAGAAACAGCATTATGTAGAGAGAACAGCACTTGCATGTGTACACATTTCAAGGTCTCTACGGGTTTGAACGCGTATACCCATCACACGCACACGCATGTTCACGAAGGAGCAAGAAAGCTGCGACACGGGGCCTATTTTTAAAATGGGATCGGTTATGGTTCGGCGGAAGAGCGCGCCTGCACTCGCGAAAAAACGAGAGAGATAGAGAGAGAGGAGAGAGAGACGAAACGCATGCAGCGCACCACGCCTCGAAAACATATATGTGCAGACTAAGGCAAATGAAAGCTATGCGCCAAATTCACGCTCTATTTCGCCATACTAATGATGATTTTTTAATTTTATAATTTCTTTTTAATACCACGCTGCATAAATATGTCGTTAATTTTTCAGCACGATTATATAAACATGCATCGATTGTGTAACGATTGGTAAGACACTTTTTTCGTTTCCATTTTTTACGTGAAATACGTTCTTAGTTGTTTATACAATAAGGTCAAATTATGAGGATGTAACACCGTTATTGTCTAAAATGCCTACAGACTCTGATGTCAGAAGTCTCAATGTAAATAAGTATAAAATAAGAAAAATGTAGGTAAGAATTTCGAGATTACAGAAAAAATATGTATTGCCTCAGTTTTTATTTGTTAGAAACCGCGCATTATTTTGAAATTCTTCCGAGAAATAGTTAACAAAGCTTGGTGCAATGTGTATACAAATTTTACGAAAAATGAGGGGGTACTGGGCAAGAAACTCGCAGGACGTTGTCTCTTGGGATAAATAAAACTCATACATCCACACACGAGTTGCGCTTATGCTCATCAAAACAAACAATTTTTTCTCGGTCGTATGGCAATCAGTACCCTGCTAGAACACTCAATACTCTTCGAATGCATACATATATAAAACAATAAAATTTGTATCTATGTGGAATGCGATGAACTATTTTTAATGTGCATAGCGAATACAATGACTAAAAGAACAGCCATATTATTCTTATTGATGCACGCATTAAAAATACGAAACCAAAATTTATGAAAATGATCATGGTAAAATTTGTGCGAGAAGTTAATATATACATAAAAGATAAGTTTCTCATTTAGGGTCAGTTATGTCAACCCATGAAGTTTTCCGTCGATTTTATTGCTTATTACGCTGTGTCAATGTTTCGATAAATTTTATTTATACGTTCGCTATAATTTTTCGATTTTTCATATTGATTATATTCTATGAGAAAAAAAAAACTAATTATTCAGAGCTCACTTATGCAAGTAAGAAATTATGTAAAACGATTGGACCGATCGATAAGAGCGAAATTGAAAAAAAAAAATTATCAGTTGTATTAACCAGAGTTATCGCTGTTATTTTCGTAGATTAAGCGTCTAAATATCTTATGAAAAATATTAACTTTATAAACTTTGAAAATCTGGGACAATATACAATACCTTTAAAATGTCATTCCTATTTTTAATTCTTTCATAATAATCTCAAGCGTACAGCGAACATAAAACTCACGAGTAAAACTATTTAAAATCCACTACACACCTATGAATCGTATTAATATTATATCATACACTAACCTAGCAGTACAAAAAATTATTTTTTAAGTGTATATCAAATTAAAAAATCACGAGTTTGACGAACGACTGAAGTCCATGTGCAAATAAAAATTTAAAATATAAATAAAATTTTTAATAAAATCGAATAAAAATTGAATCTTTGTTAATTTATTAATATTAAAAGGCAATATAAATTTCATAGACTAATGTAATTTTCTCGAGAGTTATATATGCATGAAACTATTTAGTAAAGAGAAACAATATCTCAACGAATAAAGTCGGCTTTTGAAATGAAAAGTACATTATTTTTGGCATCACCAACACATCTATGTTTATTCATCACTTACAAAACTCTCCTAATATTTTCAAACGTATATTTTCTTTCGAAAGAAGTCACTTAGTGATATGGATTATATAATACCGATTAGATGTTGGAGTAAAATAGGCATTGTATTTAATTATCAAAATTACGGCATAAATAACATAAAAATATGTATCGCTTATTGTTACAGTAAACGCTTGAAACGTTGAAAATGTTCAAATGAGAGTACTCGAGGAAAATAATCTTGATATACATTCAACATTGTATCGACAAAAATTAATGTAAATACAAAATATATTGTGTATATTGTGTAATTTGTTTTTGTAATGAGTATTTTGAGAAACTAGTTGTTTACGATAGTAGGTATAACAAAAAGAAATAATATTCAGGCACAGTAAACTCTAACAATATAATCACTTAGTTAACCCCCATTTATCTCGAATGCGGAATCCGTGTGCTCGAGATGAAAACGCCGCACCGCAACAGGAACGGATTCCCTTTGTCATGCCCATGATATTGCCATATTATGAACCACCCCCGCCATACGATAACAAAGCCGGTAATGAGCAAAAGTAAATAAGAAAAACTGGCAATCGCATCGCATAGGAGACACGATAAAAGGAGAAAATAATAAAAGTGCGAGGAATTCGGTCGAGCAAGGAAGGCGACCTTGCCCGCGCGCGAACGATACATGTTCGCAAATGGCCAGCCACACAGTGAAAGAGACAGATGCGCACAGAATATACGTATATGCATACACACATAGAACACACAGACACATACCACGTCATACATCCACGCGTCCATGGTCGTGTCGTACATCACAGCAGCGAAAAAATCCTCCTCCAAAAGTGACCGGGTTCGGCGAAGACCGCTCACTCGCGCACGTGCATGACACACGCATCTAGCGGCGGCAGCACGGCGGCTGCAGCAAGTCCCATGGGAAACCCAACACGAGCAGAGAATCGACGAAGGAACCGCGCGTCAAACGATGTCGACGGCACCGCGGCCCGAGCGCGACTGTATCCGTGTCGTAACGTCAGCGTGCTCTTGTCTCGACTCGCCGCGCCGCATCGAAGCCGAAGCCCGAAGCGCCGCCGCCAGGCAGAGGGAGGGAACGAACGCACACTCTCGCGGCCTGTAGACGCTGCCGTACGATACTCCTATAATATAGATCGCAGGGTAGGATGTCTCGTCTGCAAGGCACGCACATGTGTATATTTATATATGCGTAAGCGTATGGGTTTGCCTTTTTGCTTGTCGTCGTTGCTTTCTTTCGGCGGAACTGTATCTTGATGAACTGTACTTGCAGACGGGGCATGTAGGGATTCCTCTCGTGCTACGCGCGGGATAATCTTGTAACGGAGTTTGTAACAGCTTGCGACGCTTATGCAATCAGAGTTGACAGGGCACCCTATAGCGTAATCTCGTTCAAGTTTTGCCTAATAAATATTGCACCTTCGCGACTTTTTCTCACGCCAAAGTTTTGTTGCGATCGGTGGTCGTGTGCGCGCTCGCGTACAAACGCGACAATCATTACCAGTGCTTTTCCGTGTGCTTTTCAGCGCAAGCGGAGAGGATCAGAGATGTATGATGTGCGAAACGCGTGGTCACGTGATCGAACGGCAGACCATAATCATACCGTATGAAGCAACGCGAACAATTAAATAACCGATCATGGCTGTGAGTGCTGGGAACAACGTAAAAGTTCGTAGCAAAAAAGCGACAAATGAAAATTGAGAGAGCGGCCTATATGAAGCAGTCGTCTAATTCGCGCGACAGATTTTTTTAGTGCATATAATTTCGAAAACACTCGTGCGGCGCACATTACGGCGCGTGCGAAATCAGAGATAGGAGCCGGCTCGACGATACCGCGGCGGCCCGAGTTTTGTAACTCGATGCTTGTATTATGTATATCTCACTGTCAGTTACATGTTTGTGTCGTGCGCCGTTCACTCTAGACACGTATTTATCCCCCAGCTTCACATGAGGAAAACTCGGAAAAGTCACAGATTAATCAGTTTTCTGATAAGATCAAAAGTTCTTGAGAGCGTTTGAAAAATACACACACGCAGTATTGCATATCGACAACCATATACCATACGATATATGTAATACGAGTGCAACTATTTTAGATGAAACAATAACGACGGATAAACTATTTGTGATTTGAAAAATATTGAAGATGTAACTTGGAAAACAACAGCGTTCAGCGCCGAGTGTTGCTTGGCGCGCGAAAAATAATTAAAAAACAAACCGCCACAGCAGATACAAAAAAGAATATTCGTGATAAATGCAACCGATAAGACTTTTGTCGAGACTTTTGTTCTGATTCTTGTAGCTAATATACATTAATTGCCCATCTAGTCCTGCATGTTCTTTATTCCTGATGAAGACATTTCCTCCTTTCAAAATGCGAATAATTTTTCATGAAAGTAACGTCGAACTAATATCAAAGCCAAGGCATGAGAGATCGTACTACAATATATTTTTATGTAAATAACCCATGGAGAACAAAGTAAATTTTTAATTTATTCTGATCGGTTTATTATTGTACACGCGCGGCGCCTACTTATCAAATAAAAGCATGGGAATTTCGAAGAAGCCTTTTGTATGCGCGGAGGAAGTGTAGAAAATCTTTATTCGTGGCTAATTGGTATAAGACAAGCAAGCTTTGATTTTAATTTGAAATTGACTTACCGACTCCTTATGCGTGAACCTATTATCGTCTAACTACCATGTATCGCTTATTAATAGTTCTAAATGTATATAGATATATGTACACTCGTGTTATTTACCGAATAAACGAAATTAATCAAATAGCCAACTACTTATAAAGTTTTACAAACTACAGTACATTTTTAATAAATGATGACTAAGATATTTTATATGAATAAAAAAAATAAAGAATATTTATTTTTCATTAGAATTTCTAATAAAAAAATTATAAACATTACAATCAATTATTTATCAATATTTCAAAATCGTTAAAAATATTTTTATAAATATTTATAATTTCTCCTAATTATCAAATAATTACTTTTTTCACTTAGAAACTTTTAATTTTATCTTATTAATTAAAAAAAATCGTCACAAAGTTTAATATAAATACAGAAATGAGAAGACATTTCATAAAATTTGTAATAATAGAAATTTTGAGAACTCCATTCAATGCGTAATTCAAAGTCTTTATCAAAGTATTGTTGGCAGAAGTTTATATATATCAAGCATATTTTCACATGCGAAAAATATTTCAAGCATATCTTAGAGCATTATTCAAAAATAAACGTTGATGAAAAACGAAAAAATTACAAGTAGAATCAATTTTTGGAATTATATATGTAAGGGCACTTGTATACACTCAGTATAATATAAATCGAAAAACTATCTGTCAAAACAGTAGAAGAATGTACGTACATTTTTAAGTAATATTCCATTACACACGCTAAATATTTTGTAGTTATATAAAGTTCTTTGATAAGCTGCCTTTGTCGATCAAACTCAAAAATCATCTCATTAAATTCAAATCCAAAATTTATATTACGTATGATTATTTTAAGATCGATTATTTTTATTCTTTAATTTATTAATATATAATATAATCAAGTAATTACAATACAGATAATGCGAGTTTGTTTGCTAACAAACATCTGTGACAGTATCAGCGCACAATCGCAATGTGGTATAATTCGCTATCTTTTGTTGCGCAGCTCGCATCCAATTACATTGGTTACTTCGGCAAGCGGGTGACGTTTACTCCGCTTCAAATATCGGTCATTAACATTTCTTCAATTTACCTTGAAGCAATGACACATTATCAGACCGTCTCCTGTCGTTTCGAAGATTTTCCGCACGTGCCTTGACAAATTTTACAAAATTTATCTTAAGATTCGTGCACTTTCCTGCTGCAAAATTTGTGTGTGCAACGCACTCGTTGACTGATAGGAAAAGAAAATACCTATCTGCACCATTGCCTCAATTAATGTGTATTGAGCGTCATAAAATATGTGAGGCATATTGTAAGTATAATTCGAAAATGAACATTTATGAAAAACGAGAAAATTACAAATGGAATCAGTTTTTCAAATAAAATATTTTCCGATTAAGTGTAACGAGATTGATCAATACCTTAGTTTTCATAAAATTATTCGGGATAATAAATATAAAGCAAATAGGCTAGAGGATATTGCCAATGATATTCAGAACATTTTTTTGAGGAGACATTTGAGCCAAATCGATCACCAACAAGCAACATGATTTGACATTAATTGAAAATCTCATCTGGAAGAGTTTACCATTAAAAACATGGGGCTGAAACCAGCATTTATTAATGAATGTTGACTTCATTGTGATATTCAATTGAGTGTTTTCAGTTGCAAATTTTAGCGGCTGAAGTAAACGCTGTTTTACGTTCTAAAAAAAATTTTTATTTTTTATTTGGTCGTTCAGTTTTGTTCAACCCTAGCTCCAAGTCTGATTGAATTAACAAAAATTGTTAAAATGGGGTTATAATGGTACTTGAAGATAACCAGTAACAAAAATATGTTATTTCATTTAAAACAAATTGATGTAATTTTCCTGACTTTAAAATACTTATAATCGAACGAACGTGACAAAACTTGTCGAATATTAATCGATAAATCGATAGAAGTCCTCATTGAAATAGATAGCTATCGATTTATACAGCAATGAATAGATGATGCAACATGCTAATTAAAAAATGAAAAAAATATCGATGTATAGGAGTTTTCCTCGCTATCAAAGACTTACAGATGGATCAAACGCCTCATCGGAAATTTAATCCATAACTAACGAGCGACTACATAATGCAATTAACGGACATGCATAACAAGCACCATGACCTGCCAATACAAATGCATTGCTCGTCGATATTGAACGAAACAAAAAGGAAAAAGAAAAACAATCGGCTGATTTGTCCTGAGGGGCGGACATATTCGGCACCAGGTATATATACTCTTTCGTATACGGCATGTGGGTGGCTGTTGTTTTGCGCGCGAGTCAGAGATAGCGATCGGTCGTCGTTTCTCCTACACATAATGCCGCTCTTACTTCGACACACGCGGAGAAAGAGCGAAGAGGGGCGTGGGACGAGTGTATATAGCTATAGAGTGGCCTTGAACTTGACTGTGCCAACGTTTTTGGGCGAGCACATACATATGGATACACATTGCTCACCGAAAACAGCCCACCGGCGTAGACTCCCACCTCTCGCCGTCTACTCGCGATTTTCGGCACTCTGCTAATCGTTCCAGAGTATTCGCCATTTTTGCCAGTTTTTCAAGCCAAAACTCACAGAGATCTTCGTCTTTACTTACAACGTGCCATGCACGTTAGGTTTTTTTTTCAATCGAAAAGCTGAATTGGATAAAGAGTTTTCGTTTCGTTTATCAAGCGAATATTCAACTCAACAATTCATATAAAAATCACAAATAAGAATAGATTTCAAAATTATCGCGCGTACTTTATTCCGCGCTTACATTCTCTTTGAAAGCTGGAAGTGCAAGACTAGCGACTGAGAATTGCAAATCAATTCTTTGAAAAAAGCTCTCTCGTATATTCTCGTGTGTTACCATGCTTATGCCAAGTTATTGCAACGAATAAAACAAGATTTATTAGTAAAGTCATGCTATCCTTGCAGATACGATGTTTGAATAATGATGATGATTAGGTGTTTTGATGAATCGACTAAGCACACTTAGCACACAGAAACCTTGCGGTAAATTTGCATTTTGCAACATTTCCAAAAATTACCTGGCTTAGGTGCGCTTATGTTTTACTGAAGTTTTACTGAACTACTTACTATTTATAGTATGTCATTTTTTCAAACGTATGAGCTTTACATAAGAGGACGTCCATTTAATAAAAACACGTATTTTAAGAAATTTAGATTACTAGTTATCAATCAATTGATTATTAAAATGGTTTAATATATAAAACGTCAATTAAGAAGACATTTTTGGCCTAAGAAATTTTTTTATTAATTCATTTTCAGCTAAAAAAAGGTTTTTCTCAAATACACTTTTGAACATTAATGACATGAAGTATTCTACATTCACATATTTCTCTTTCAATTATTTTTGCAGTACTACTAATTTTTGCTATCTAAATAATTCAAAGAATTTTCAAACTGATAGAAAAATTACTTTTCCAATTATTATTTCTGCTGTACATGTTTCATATAATTTTTATTATGAGTAAGACTTACTGATAGTTTAACTATTTTTGATTGTTACGTGTCACTCATATAATGAATCTTAAAAGTTCAATAATCAATTTTTAAAATGAACTAATAAATGTTTCCAAATATATCTCACTTTCGTTGCAAACAGACGAGAAACAATCACAAAAAAAATGGGTATAGTTAAGAATATATATTAATTGTTTGATTTTAATAAAATTTAATACAAAATAAATAAATCTTACTCTCATTTTTTAATTAAGGTCGACGAATAAGTAATCCATATGTCGGAACATCTATTGCAAATGCATTTCAAATCAAGTATGTTGATAGAGTGCAACTAAAATATAGATTTTGTAAATGTTCTTAAAATTAAAATTATATTTTTTAATGACAATCGGTGAACTAAAAAAAATCAAAAAATAAATGCTTCATATAAAATACTTTTACATACAGATTCCATATAAATTCAAGTATAATTTGCTAATTGTCGAGAGTTCGGTTCTTACGGTATGTCCTTGCGTTTGACAATATCTCTTTTACTGCTACCTTTACAAGTCAATGTAATGCATAAACTGAATGTACACTGGAGCATACACCAGATCGATACAATTACCTAAGTATCAAAATCAGAAATCGCCTAATATTTCAATGTTTGAACTTACAACTTAGCCATCAAATTACAGTCTCATAAATTTAGTTTCAAAGTAGCAGCTGAAAAGATATCATAATTTAATAAGACTTCTATACATATTTATAATTTTATTCTGTAAATTATTTAAAAAATTATCATATCTAATTCTAAAACACAAAAATTTATATAATTCAATATAGAAAATGTTACACTATAAATAATAACTGACAGGATAAAAAAAGGCAGTTGTCGCGAACCTACTTACTAATTAAAATAAAAGTTTCCTTACAATACATTATTAACAATCTAAATTACTTTTACAGTTATAAAAATTAAAATAGAAAAGGAAAAAAACCGTTTATCTTTGGATATTTCGCATCATGTCAACCGACGCATTTCTAATCAAGTTCGAATTATTTGAATTATTTTGAGCAATCAAATTGCTCGATTGACTCTGATAATTACTGGCACCTGATGCATGCCGAATCGTCGTACTTTGCTGTGGAGGATTCACTGATGACGGCCTATGAGCGAATTGCGGATGATTTGCTACTTCAGCGGATGAGCTTGGCGGCATTCCGTTCTCAACCACATTCGCATGGCCACCTATATTACCACAACCCGTAATTAGTCTAATTTACATTGACATTTCATTGTAATTGGTATTTATAGCGTAGTTACATTTATAGAAAATAGCGAATTTACATAGAAATTATTGCGATTTGCTGCTTTGCTTACTGTTATTTGATGGCGAGGTTAGTGGTATTGCTAGCCTGGCATTAACAGCAAGCAAATGATCCCTCCTCTGCAGTAAACTATTTACATTTTCTTCAAGTCTTAAATTCTCAGCTCTCAATTGATGAAGACACGACAGCAGAGATGCAATATCGAAATGTTGCGCTTGATCCATCAAAAACTGACTGCCTTGCTCCCATTGTCTCTCCAGCAATTGATCTAAAGTTTGTGGGATTGTACCACTACCCAATACTCCACTGTTAGTGGAAGTACTAGCGGCATTGTTTGCTGAGAAATTCGTCGAGAACTGCGCCACAGTGGCATTCTGACTTGCTTTGGCTGAGGCGATGACACGACTGTGCAGAGGTGGTCCAACTAAGTTGTTCATGCTCGAATTACCGGCTTCGGTAAAAATCGAGTGTGCCTTCATTTCCTGATTGAGTGTGTCAGTCATTTTCTGTGCCATTGACGAATTGGGATTCAATTGATTTCCCAACATGTGAGGTGCGTTCACTCCGTTGTCAAAGAGTTTTGACTCTTTTTCCTCTTTTGGTTGGTACTTAGGTTCCATTGGTGTATACTGTGTCGAGTGTGAGAAACTCTGAGACGTTGAAGTCGACGAGCTGCTCTCGTTCGTTCGTCTTTTCCGTCGACCCGACGTAGCACTACTCATACTTTCCGAGCCAGGGCTACTTGGAGGAGAATCCTTGACGGTTGGCCCCATGTTGTCACTAAAGCTAGATCGCATTTAAATATCTGCTTGTCAGGATGCTTGCACGGGAACGAAAGATAATAATGCGTCTGTGTGGACGACGACGATCTGCTTTGCTGCGGACTTCACAAGTTAAATAACAAACTATTTCGCACTTTCTCATAACATATTGTATGCTAATTTTCAATTGACACTTACTTAGCAATTCGCCTTAGATTGTTTCTTCACTTGAAAAACTTTGCTCTAACGAAAGATGAAAATTGATCTCATTATTTACAAACGAGAACGCACCTGTGGTTCATAAAATCCTTTGTCAAATCCTGAAAAATACAAAAAATTGATGTATTAATAAACTTGTTTTAAATAAAGCAGTTGTTTCATCTAAATTTATTTTTAATCAGTTATTTTCAATCTTTTCCGAGCTTTGCCAAGCTCTAAAATTTTAGCTTTTTCTGATATAGCCGTAACCACATGACTGCTTATCAAAAGAAAATCCTAGTGACAATTTTCAATTTTATGTATCTTTTAATTCAAATGTAATATATTATTTTTTTCAAATTCAATTCATTTTCTGACTGAAAGTTCAATAAATCGCAGATTACGCTAACTTCTACTCAACTTTTTTGTGATTGTTAATATCTATATATGTTTACTCACTTTTTATCTGCTAAGAGTTCAAGTTTTATTTGAAAATGTTATTCGTAACAAATATTTTTCAAACATTATGAATCAAAAGTAATTCACAAACTATGGTAGGTTTGAAGAAATCTATGAAAATAATTAAGATGATTATGTTACTGCTTTATTTGAAACAAATTTATTACAGAATCAATTCTTGTTTTTTCAGAATCTCAAGTAAAATACCTATTGATTCCTTACAACGTGCCAAGTCCTTAACAGTTCACAACGAGTGATTTATTGACGTGCAAGATTTATGCACCAATTTATTTTTTACAAGCAATATTAATATTGGTAGTAAGTTTTTATTTTTGTTTATCAAGTCGCAAAACCCGCGGTTTTTAAGTATCTACAAGGCATCGTTTTGAAAATTACTTATATGTAAATACATATTTTTTTGATATAAAAGTATATATGAGAAGTATTTACGTACGTAAACACTGAAAAAATGCAATGAATATATTAAACCATTCATCAAACTTTGACAAGCTATAAACTTTATGAATTATCGTAAGAAAATATGACCGTTGAATTTTTCCCCTTTCAAAATAATATTTGACTTTAATAAAACTTCCAACTGTGTTAAAATTTTCGTAAACAATACCTTACATAGTAAATGTTTTAAAACTCAGTTTAATTGTTCACTTTTATATATAAGTACAAAGGTTACACTAAAGCTTATTAGTACTGTTTTACAATAAAGATAACTTAGAAAAATCTGACTGTCAACTTAACTAATATTGTCAAAATTTCAAGAGAAATAAATTTGGGAAGATTACATGTTCTAATTATACGGATTAGCATTGAATCAAAACAAAAACAATAACATAAAGCAGCGAAAAAGTGAGCAAACACAAACTACAAAAAATGCTTTCATACTGTTGCAAACTCAATCATCTATAGTCAATTCACCCGTGCCATTTCATAACACGAACAAAGCCCCAACCGAGAAAATATCAAGGCCAGGGCAGTCATTATGAAACCCTTCTACGTCTATGCAGCCACACATACTTATATATTTAGTTAGCTTAGCTATGAGCATCAGCTCCAAAGTGCGAATCCCAGCTAAAGAACAAATGTAAAGCGAAGCGCACTTAACCTCCAAAATAATAGACGCGACACACAGTCGATCGATGACGCTTACGAAATTTACGCGGCAAACCATGAAGTAGCGAAACACAAAATGATTACGTGATGAACCATTTGTGATAGATGATCATGACTGAAAAATGTATATCTCGTGAAAGTAGTTATGAAATGTTATATAGCTCTAAAACAAAGATGGCGATGACATGACTCTAGCTAATCCATCTCTCGTGTATACTTCGAGTCTTTGCCCCGGTGCACTTTACGCAAGCGGACGGCTAAATGCATATTTTACGAGCATTACTCACCTCAACATCCGTTCGATTAATGGTTCCTCTTTTATTCTAAATGATTTGCTTGTAACACTGTGTTGTAGACGCGGTTACCAAACAACGTCCGCGATGAGAAAAAAAAATTCTTTTGCAAGAGAACGGAGGGCCAACGACAGATATACACTCAGGTTCGCGGAGCTCTTCCACGGGACACGCGCGTGGGAATGGTTTTTGGGTGATGGCGACTTTGGTGCCATCACACAGCTACGTGGTGTGCTTCCGAAGCTTTCGATAGCTTTGCTATACCGAGAAATCCGAGAATACCGAGCAGGTAGTGCTGGCACCTACTGGTTATACATTTCATCTTAGAACATGCAAATAAAGTAGATTTCTTTAATGATAAACTACGTGTTAAAGTTATACGAAGTGCTAAGTTTTAAATTTCATATAGCTATTCTATATAGATAATAGATGTTTACTTTTTGAAATAATTGACGATGTTTAGTTATTAAATTTGAATAATCTAATTATAAAATAATGAACATAATAATTGTTACATCAATGTCTAACAAATTCCCGACTTCGGAAATTTTATTCGATAAATGAAGATATATTGAAAAATTTTAACAACGATTATATGTTAAAAAAATATATATTTAATTCGAAATTTTCTATGATTTCAAAGCTTAAATAAACACTCTTTTTCCATTATACTTAACTCGTACAATTGAAATCTAGACAATAAAAATAGTGAACGTACAAGCTACTTATAATAATAATAATAATAATAAATAAAGTTTAACAGCATTACGTCTCTACATTTTAATTATTTCACACGATATATTGTCTGGTGTCCACGTACTGCTGACTGAAGGTTTGAAGTTAATTCTAGCAAATACGCGTTTGCTCAATCTTTCAGGATTGAGAATCACGGATTCATTTACGTGTTTGCAAAAATATCTCATATCAGATGGTAACAATAACATATGTGGCTTTTCTTTCAGAAAAGCATATTTTTCCCAAAGCTCGCAATCGATGTTAATTTCTTTTGCTGAAGGATACAATGGATAATAGCAAGCTTGATTCAAGATGTAGTTCCCTAAACGACTTAATTTGTCTTTGCATATTGATTTTCTGAAAAGTATGAGGTACAAGATGAATAATAAGCAACGATGAAAACATCAGAAAATAGTAAGATCATTTTATAGCAACTTACATCGTAACTTCTTCGCGTCCAAGATGCATTAAAACGTCAACTGACGTAATTCCTAGTCTCAAACCATCGATATCTAAAGTGCAAGGATCAGGGAGTACGTGGATGTCGGCCCCTTGCAATGATTTCGGTATAAAATATTCTGGCGTCGGATAAATTGCATGATGATGAGCATCTCTACCCGAAGCTACTAATACTACTTGAGTACATTTGCTGCAAAAGCAAAGACATGCTGATTTTTTGCGCAATCGTTTAATTGTAATATATAGTATAATCAACATACCTAACTAAATTATTCTTTATGTTAAGAATAATTTTATTGAAAATCTCTTGATGTGAACAATTTGCTTCACCACTTTGAATGTGAGGATGATTATAGTCAACGAAAGGCCCAATAAGAATTAAAACGTGCGGCTCATCTTCAGCAACTCTAGCCATTAATTCATAGAGTGGCTGATAGTTGAGATCATTCGATTGTGTGAAAGGTCCAGCCGCGACCATGACTTTTAAATCATCAGTAAAGTATGGTGGTTGAGCTGCGGGTATAAAACTGCCAGTAAAAACATCTTTCACTTTTAGCAAATTCTCCGTCAAATTCGTGCCTTCCACTGCAATGATTTGACCAGGAAAAATACTGCATCCTGGTAGATCGCTCACGTCAAGCTCCACCTGTATTATTTAGAGATGTATATCATAAATGTTTACATTTGACTTATCTAAATTGTAAAAGTATGTTATTGCCTATTATACAACATTTTGCATATTTTGATTTAATCTGTTTAAATTCTGCAAGTAAAATAAATATGATTTCCTTTTTATACATTGAACATTTTTTATTTTCCAAACGCATATATTATTGAAAAACAAAGTATTGTATTTAATTTTTTTTTTTTTTAATAAGTCGATCTTAAAAAATAAAAGCAACTAATCCGTGTAGCAAAATGTAAGAATCAAAATAAATGTAAATATATATCTATATAATGTAAAATAAAAGTTCAACGGTAAAAAAATTCACCACGAAGTTTGCATATTAATGATATTCATTGCCCAATTGAAAGAATATGGTAACTATTGAAAATTATTTGTATTACAAAGTGGTACACATATACATATGCTGAAAAAAATGTTCAAACAAGTGACTTCATGTGAATGTCTACCTGCGGCCAGAGTTTCGCCTCAACCGTATCGGTTCTGGGTGGTTTCCTGCAACCCTCAAGTAGTATCGTAGCTCCGACATTCCATTTCTTCGTTTCGGACTCGAAGCACACGCGTCCCCAAGTTCGGTATGGCTTCTGACTTCTTGTGCGAACATTCCACGTGGTCACCAGATCATCCTTCTTTTGCTTTTTCCAAAAGACGTTGATTTTGTACCCAATTATGCGACATACTCGAGTACGTACTTCTGACGCGGTCTTCAATAATTCAAACATGTACCTCGAATTTGCCGGTACACGTGGTCCCGCGTGCTTGATCGAGCACTTGTACTTTTTGTTGGTTGCCCATATTGAGACTTTTTGACCAACGGATAGGACTACTTTTATGCCTCCTTTTGTACATGTAATGTTACTGTAATATACAAAATAAATGTTTATGTTTCATGAAAATAAAATTAATTTTTATCTCTAAATTAACATTTCCTTGATTCCTTTGGATACTGAATCCCAAACAAATCTATAAAAGCGTACATTAACCGATGCTCAGAAGTCAGTTACGACAGCGGCACGTGCGTGAACAGCACAGAGTCGCAAAACGTGATCGGAAAAGTGATTTTTATGTTAGCGAGAAGTGAAAGAGAAGGAAAAAAGCTCGGACAAAAGTAAGAATGGTAAGAAAAGAGAGTAAAGTAAGAAGGATGCAAGGAAGCCTGTTTGGTTATTCAACTCACGACTGACTAAAGCTGAGCTGTGACTGCGTGGCGTCGGCGATGTCGGTATCGATACTGCTCGGTTGTTCGAGGGACGACGGCGTGCTGCATTCTATTGTGGCTTGTATTTTGCATCCGTCGCCGCCACTGCTACTGCTATCTACTAGATCTGGACTGGCTGCTCTCTTTCTATGCTGGAAACCAGTGGAAACTTTGTGAATTGTTTTCAAAACCTTTCTATCTTTACTTTTCTCCGTTTTTTGCATTGTATTCACGGCAAATAGTATGTACGACTTTACACAAATATGCGAAATGGAGTTGTACTTTTGATTTGAGAACTCTGATTTTTGTCCATTTTATACTTCAATATCAGTAATTATGGTAAATGCTTATTATTTCAGACCAGACAATAGTCTTAAGTTAATAAAGTAAAAATAAATTTTTAAGCCGAAACTTAGCTAAGAGTGAACTTACTTAAAACTGAAAAATCCTTGGTTCAATGTCACAAGCTCCAGAATCGGTTGCCGTAGACGAGTGTGTATCTAGTCACGCTATCGTAAACTACGTGCACCAAATTCATACTCGTCTATGGTATCACCTTCTTTCTTTTTTCTGTATTACACAGAGATTCTTGACCGTCAACTGCATCCGCGTCATTCCCACGCTGCTTTCTGCCAATCTTACTTAATGAGTGTGGATCTAGTCACAGATCGATAAACAGTGCACTAGACCATCACCCACTCAGCAGGATCGACCATATTTCTTTTTTTCATTCTCGTTCTTGTCTCATCTTCTTCGCTTGATTTTATTATTTTTCATTTCTCTCTGCTCAACTCCTCTTTTCGCCTTATCTCGCGCGCGCGTTTTGCTCTCAAGGCCCTCTTTCGACGTTTCCGTTTCTCGAGTTTCCACGTCAATGAGCGAAGTTCTGTGATAACCGCGACTTTTTATTTGCTCGAAAGTTGCCGGTCTTGTGTATTCATACCATCAATTTGATAATACCACATTTTGTTTCAAATCAGCATTGGCAAGGTGACAACATGAACTACAACTTGCAAAAAATCATTAGATTTTAGCGTGGAGCAAATTCACGTAAAAATTGTACTGAGTTTCTGTCACTGATGAAATTGCTGGCGAAACGAAACAAAAAAGTTTGATTAATTTATCATTCGATTAATGAAACATTACGAAACTAAAATTAATTCAAATTCGTCAAAAACAAACGTTTAGAATTGTTTCTACAAGAGAAGGTGTATACAAAACATGAAAAAATTTCAATGATGTTCAAATAAAAGAAATAACCCAATAACCTAATCTCGTACACGCGTCTATCCAACGTAGAGAGAAGTAATAGACCAAGGCCAAATCTAAACTACCTAAGAACGGTTATTAATGATTTTATGACTGTGTAATAACTTACAAATCAGGTCAACCAGAAGCAGTTTGCAGGAACGTTTTCTAACAATGATAATAACCCGAGTAATTTTTTTCTTCGCAATCTCTGAACTCCGTACAATAATTAAAACTGTTTGGCTGCGCACATTCTCCGCAATGAAGGCGTAACGCACACACGCGCAAAAATACATCAGTTGAACAAGGATCAACCACATAGTCGTTAAACCGTTCAAACAATCCGCCTCATAAATTTGAGGTGAAGAAAAAAGAATCTTAAGTTGACACGCGCGAGATAGACAGTCGATGACCGGCAGCACGCACAACTGTGCGACCGTTGAGAAGGCGAACGCCGCTAGCTATAAAAATTATTCCGAAGCCGAAGAAGAAGAGGCAGACACGTGATAGCCGTAGCCGCAATCGTATGGAGGATGATTTCGCTGTGATCCGAGTGACGCGAGCAAGCGAGAAAGAGAAAGAGAGAGAAAGAGAGAGAAAGAGAGAGAGAGAGAGAGAGAGAAAGAGAGAGAGAGAGAGAGAGAGAGAGAGAGAGAGAGAGATAAAAAACGAGTCGTTGCTCGCTGTCATCATCAGCAACGGCTCTTGACTTGATGTTACCACAGAGAAGAATTAGAAGACGACTCGGACGGCGATGAGGGTTAACTGACGCTTCATGCTGTCGCCGTGCTGTGTTTCGTACGACTGTGTTCCGTAGTATAACGATCTTTTCGTTTATGGCCTCAACTCGTTCACTTGTAAAACTTGGTTTTTCTATTTGTTTGCGCAAACCAAGCTTGAAACTTTCGTCAATGTTCCACCGAGCAACATCGTTCCGTATATATACTCCTTCACTCTCGTCGTTATCCAATTAATTCAATGCCACTCTGTGACTCTTCCCTCATTGTTTCGCCACTAGAAACTCTTTCGCAACAGCACAGCCAGCACGAAGTTTGCCCAACAGCCTGTTGGACCGAAAAAAAAAGAAGCGGATTCATCGAAGAGAACCGCAAGCGAAAACGGGCAAGAAGAAAAAGAGGAGCGCGCAACCTCGCCTCGCGGCGACTGAATGACGACTATTGTGCTCGTTCCCCCGACAGCAGCGTTTCTCGCGGTGCACGATTTTGGCAAACACGTGTGCGAGTGTGGGGCCCTATACACCATTCATCCCCCTTCACTCCCCATATACCGGCATGCCTCTACGAGATAGACCGTGGGAAATGACGTTGAACGTATACAGGTCGTGCTCGCTTGTTTGCCTGCTGCCATATACCGCGTAGCCATGCTGCTCCCCCCTGCTGTAGCGTATTTTTTTTCTGCCCCTGTGTCTCGCTCGCGTCTTTCGTTATTCGTGCGGATGCTGCACGTGACACACCGGGCCTGCACCGCTCGCCATTCCTCTCAAAAGAGTGAGAGGGAGAGAGAGGGAGAGGGGAGGGGGGGAGTAAACTTAGCACCTCTCTCCCTTTCGCTTGTGCATAGTAGAAATATACACTGCTATATCATGCACACGTGATCGTTGCAAGGATAAATCGCTGTCCTAGTATTTCAGACTAGTATCTTCTTGCAAACAGTCAAACGGATACATACGTGCGACTTGAAGGCTTCAGTTGTGATTGTAAATTTTGACGGTACACTGGTATACTTGCGAGAATGGTTGTTTGCTCACCTTCGCGACGACGAGAACGTGCACGTGCGAGCGAATACTTTTCGCATTGCAGATGTGCGACGACGTGTATTTGTTTAGTAGGGTCTGGGTACGACCATGACTATCCATACATTTTTCCGTATCAAAATAAATTTCCTGGGAATCGGTAAGAGAGTACAAATCAGGAATTTGACGAACAATCAGCAACTTTAGTGATGACGCCTGTTTGATAAATATCAGCCGAAGTCGATCAACGAAGTAGGCAGCGACCCGCAGCGAAAGTAACAGAGACAAGAGAGAGAGAGAGAGAGAAAGAGAGGAGAAAGAGAGATACGCGACATTGGGCAGAGAGCAGCTACAGTGCTCTGCTTCGTCAATTGCACTTAATTGACCGCGGAGCCGGCGTATATAGTGCAGATGCCGTTTGCTATGCGTATACGTCGAAGAGAGAAGAGAACGAACATTTTTTTCATTGTTATTCATCCACAGATTGCCCGTATATGCGGGAAATTTGACGGGTGTGTAAAATGTCGAAGGGCTGAAAAGCCAGGGTCTACCACGAGAGCCATTTGTGACAATGTGGGTGGTTAAGCGACTGATTAATTTTGAAAAATCGTGTGGTATCCGTTAGTACCAAGTTCTCGCTTAAAAGACATCGGTATATCGATCGTCGTTTGTCATTTTTCGCGAAACTCGTACTTATACGGATTGCTCATCGTAAGCTCATTAGATGTACTTACATAAAAGCGCTCGCAAAGAAGACCGCGATTATTGCAACGGCTAATTTGGTATTGCGCGCATTGCGGATTATTTGCGAGCTGCGACGACAGGATGAACATTTTATACGTTTGGGAAAAAAACAAAAAGAAACACACGCGTCCGAACAATCATAATAAGAAAATAAAGATATCGCGTGTGCGCCAGCGAGAGAACGAACGACTTGTATTGTGGGAAGTGAAAGTATGTATATCATAATAGCCTGACCCGGTGTGTGTGTGTGTGTATGTGTGTGTGTATGTATGTGTGGCTGACGTGACAGGAAATGCGAATTCCCTCTCGTGCAGCCTAGTAGCGCGTATTTGTGTATGTACATAACCGGAGGCACCTATTTCCACTGAAAAATCAATCAACAAGGGTTTATAACACTCTCTTTGCATGGCCTTGCCTCCCTATGCACGACCAGACACGCTATTAATTTCACGATTCGACGGTTGAACGACAAATGAGAAGTCTTGCACGTGCGCGCTCACTTTCGTGCAAGTAAAAGGAAAAAGTACGTTTTATCATCTCAATTTCGTTTTTGCTCGCACGCGCAAAGCAAGGAGAGTAGCAGTCAAACGTCTGAAATTCTAAACGAAATCTCTCTGAAAAAGAAAAAAAAGCGGGAACCGGCGATTTCGCAATCTTCGTGGCAACGTAAAACCGGCATGCGTGCCTACACGACCGTGTGGCAGCGAGATAGAGAGAAGTGACTCTTTCTTTTATAATCGGCCTAAACAAAGGCTGCGAGCTGGTTTTTGAGAGATTGAGAGAGAGAGAAAGAGAGAAAGATATGAAGATAGCGCGTCGGGACGCCAACGGGTTTTTCAAGGAATGTAAGTTTGCCGGCCCGTGGCTATTACTACTTACATAGAGGTTCGATGCTCTGGATCCCAAATGTGCGGGACAGATTTTTTCTCCGTTGAGGGACGGAAGACGTTACGTAAAAATGTAGTCACAAGTACACGAGAGAAAAGTTTGTCGTCTGAATTGGTATTAATTGCACGTGTCGCTCGATTTCTTAGATAAAAGAAAAAGAAACATCGCTCACCGATAAGTCGCTATTTATAAAGTCAAGTTCTCTTCTACCAATACCGATAACGAAGCGCTTAATTCGAGCTCATCAATTTATCAGTCGGATTTACATTGACACATGGTCGCTGTCTGAATTCAGCAAGCATGGAGATTGTGTTTATATAACCGTTAAGGAAGAGAACGTCGAATAAATCAATCACGGATAAAAGCTTCTTTCTAAAAAATGCAACATTGAATTATAATAAACTTCGAGAGATTCTTTTGTTACTGAAATACCTGAGATAAAGCAAAGAAAGTTTACCCAACGGCCTCTCGTATCACCGATATGATATACCACACATATACACGCACACAAACGAGGCAGCAATACTGTTGGCACAACGAATTAAGAGGCGTCGCTGGAGAGCAGGCTGAGAGCGAGAGCACGTAAATCACACTGAATTGCAAGGAAATACGAGAGATGGCTTTTGCTTTACACGCGTGACCGCTGAACCAGCCAATTTTTTCCCCAATGCATCATCGCACACATATACACACACCCCAAGAGCGAAGTCAAGTTTTCTGAATCAGCCACCGCAGCGGGAAAGAGAGAGCAAGAAAGAGCAACAGGTTGTTGCCGCGCGCACGCACTCACAAAATATATAACTTTTGTTGGCTTGACGGTAGCAGCAGCAGCAACAGCAGCAGCAGCAAGCGTGTCCAACACGTCTTCTTGGCGCGGAAACACTGAGTGTAAAAGAGAAAGCCGCCCGCGACGCCATGAGTCTGTCTCTCGCGACGCTACGTTACTTACAAACTCGAGCATTTTCGGAAGAAAGAAAATCACGTGACGCTTTAGGCGCCTTTTTGTCGCTCGAACGGAGAGCAAGAGAGGCGCTTTGTTCGCGGGAGAAGAGAGCGATGGCGGCAAAAGCAAGCGTCCTTGAAAACTGAGATTATGCCCTTTGAAAGAAATCTGGCCGGCTCTTTCTCTCCTCTGCTCTCTAGTGCCTGCCTAGCCAACGACTGCTGCGCGAGCGGGAAAGAGAGACGAAGTGGGGACGTTGCTCGCTGCCGCTAGCTCCTCTTCCCCCACCTCGTCACTACTACTTCGCTTAGGTGTATCTCTCAACGCGCGCTCATGCTGAAGCACTGCAGCTTGCTTTTGCTTGCTAGCTCGCTATTGCCTGCCCCTTCTACCAAGTTGAAAGAACGAGAGAGCTTCTTCTATTAGGCTCTATGCGATTTATTTTTTTATAATAGCGCCTTCTTTGTTCGCCTCTTTCGTCGTCGTTTCGCGCAAAAATTTATGTACATGAATAATGCTCGCGTGTACGATAAAATCTGTGAAACAGTAACTCGCCTGATGCTCGCGTGATTTCACACAGTTCTTTGCGTATAATTACATTAGAACTGATGTACCTATTGTCGTGATAATACATCAATAATTAACATTTCAGAGAACATACGAGAAAAATAGACATTATGTTATCATTGTTTTCTTTCTTATTTCTTGAGATGCTTTGTTATACAGCCGAAAACTGCGTTCTTCATCTTTTCATCAAACAAAAGTTTCAATTACAGCCTGAGGTGCTATCCGATCTAATCTACTGTACCTCCCTTTACTCCGAACTGTCCTCGGTACAATAATGAAATTTCTCTCTCAACCTAGATCTTTGCCAGTAATTTTTACTTCTCAAGTTTTTGTCTTTCTTGTTCGCTCTCGGACTTCTATGCCCCTTCTTTACCTGCGACTATCTTTTTACTCCAATTTCTCCCTCTCCAATTTACTCTGGCTGCAGAGAAAGAGATGACGATGTAAGAAAAGTGTTTGGGGCACGTAACTCACTTTCCGTGTCTCCCTTTCTCGCGCCCAAGATGTTATTCGGTGTTGGTTCCCTTACGAGCGACGTTTAACCGCTAGGTATGTTATACCTCGGCGACGAGAGACGGAAATGGCAAAAACTGAAGGAGAAAAGAAGAGAGGAGGGATAATGGCGCGGCAATCTATACCTGGACGATATTTTTGTGGCAGGAATTACAGGGGTCTTTTCTCTCCTCTCCTCTCCTCTCTCTCTCTCTCTCTCTCTCTCTCTCTCTCTCTCTCTCTCTCTCTCTCTCTCTCTCTCTCTCTTTCTCTTTCTCTCTCTGACTGGCGAGAGTAAGTTCTGTGCGATGCCCTGCAGGCCAACCGTATTCAAGGACGAATCATCTCGTGACGGGGTAGTTTATCAAAATCTGCTTTTCGCGGAAACATTTTTACAATGACTTCGAACGATACGACCGTTATTATTAAACTAACGAAGTCTAATTATGTTAATTATTTGGAACAAAAACTATTTTAAGAACGGCTTAGTTAGATTTTTAAGCTGTACTTAAATTTTTTTTGTATCATTTGAAGTGTGCTACAAGTCATTCGAAATGACATGTGTTTAGTGTAATAGACATGCGGTTCGCCAAAGTAAGATTATACCGAGATTACACACTAGAAAATAATTTGAAGCAAAATAAGCTGTCGCAAGGTCGCTTACAAATAAAAAAAATATTACACTCGTCTATTTATATTATGACAGATCAACGGTTCAATCGTGAGAAACGATATTTTCTGCTGAGAAACAAATAAAATCGCGACACACGCTGACAAAAGCCCGAGCAGACGAGTTCTATCCAACTGAAATAAAAGCACACACAGCACCGCAAGGAAAACTTCTTCAAAAGGGTTTAGCATGCTGCACGATGTATATATAACGAAGGGCAGCCGTCAACTTGAGTGACCTCGAAGGAACGTCGGCCTCGTGCGCCACTATCTCGCATACACATTGCGGCCAGAGCACGGGTCTTGTGTACAAGTATGCGCGACCACCAGCAAGCACCGCTGATAATGTGCTATAATACTAAGTTCATTTTTTGAGTAGTTTTTTTTATACCGTGTACCATTCAGTTTATAACTTTTCACTAAACTGCAATGTCTATCGTGATTTTTTGACGAGTAACTATTAAAAGTTAAAACTGTCAATTGGAAATGGTAAAGGTGTGAATTTAATTCGTGACTACGGTGTCGGTTTAGGCTAAGAACCATAGAAATAACGATGAAATGTCGGTACTTTATTTTCAGGCAACGATTAAAACATTCATGATCATTTATTGTTGGGTCAATCAATTCTTTAACTTTACAATTTTCACTGGAATATTCATTTGAAAAGTCTTTAAACAACTAGTGCTTTAAAAATAAAAATGCTTGTGTTATTATTAGATTTAGCAGCATAGATAGAAGAGAAGCCTGCAAAATTAGTTATTTAAATGACTCGGCTAATTAAACATTTATTTGCGGTTAACCAAAACTTATTATTGGTCCAAATAATTTCAAACTTTTTAACATTTTTTAGAGGAATTGAAAATCCTAAAAACGAATCTCACTATCTTTTCATTCTTTGTACATTAAATAAGCTTTTTGAAAACAAATGAAAATTATACAATTCAACAGTAGTACAACAACCAATTTCAATTTTTCCTACATATATATGTATATACGTTGGTTTGTCGATACAAAAGAAAGGTCACGTGCGTTTCAAACGCAAACAAAAGCTTTCTCTTTTCTGCTCGCAGATCATATTCTCACTCGCGCGTCTATCAAGTACATTGCGTTAAAGGTTTGCGCTAAGTCTTCAATTTTTATTAATTAACAGAACGGATGCTCAAGCTTTAACAGCTTTTGTTCTTGAATCTCGGTGAATCAAGAAAAGTAGGGTTTCAAAGATTTCAAGATAAATCGAAAAACATCAAATCGAAATATAACGAAAACAATTATCAATTTATTAAATGCATTACTGATATACTCACGTGTATGAATTTTATCATAGAATGTACTTGCGCAAATACGCACAGAACATAAAGTACGAAAGGGGCGACACTGTTAATGTGATGTGAGTCATCTAGTTTACTACACTCAAAAGAAAACTTAACTATAATTTAAATAATCAATGACCTTTCTGTTAAGTTCTAAATAGTTAGGAACTGTATTTCATCATTATTAGATAGTTCTAAGCACTAATATATAAAAGCTTCCTATAAATAATTATTTTATCATTGCAATATTATCAGTATCATACTCATCCATTAAATTTAATTGCTAAGACTATTGTCTGAATTTTGAAATTTCGTGCACTTATGCCCTAAATTTAAAAATTTTTTTTAGATATCTATGATACAATTGAAAAGTATCTTACCAATTTATTGACTGCTTCTGGTGTAGCATATAATTTCAAAATTTCCTGTTCGTTGTCACTAAAGTTATTTGGATAAGGAAATTAAATGTTAAAACGATTAATACAAATTAAACTGTCAAGTCAAACATTCAGGTCATCATCAATTTAGATCCAAAAAATCATCAATAAAAGGATACGTCAATATCTCTGATTTTGATGAATTTAATAACTTTATGTTTTGTTCTTGATGCTTTTTAAATATATTATCACAGCCTTTTTCTTCTCTAGGTGTAATCTTTTTCAGTTCTTCTAATGCTTCTAATGTTGGATTTAAATTTCCATCTTGATGCTGTATGCAAAAAGCTACCCATATATCTCCAAATTCTTCTTCGCTTTTGTTATACCAGTGACAAAGTTCAACACCTGTAGATAAAAGAAAATAAAATCAACTAAACTATGCTTTTAAAAAATAACGGTACAGTTACTTAGATTACTATACAAAACAATGTTTTTAATACAATGTTCAAAATCATTAAACAATACAGTAAATTATGTTATAAATAGAATAAAGGTTAAAATAATTCTTTAAAATAAATCAGGTAAATACTGATTTTACATGATCAATTCTGATTTAAATTCATAAAAGTTTCAATTTCGAATAAATAATAAATACTAGTACCAAATCATACGTTTACTTGAACAATTTTTTATTGCACTTAAGAACTAGTAAAAATTCACACTATATGTAACATGAAATCATGGTAAAACCTCTGACCGGAAAGAAAATGATATATTTGATTTTAAAGAGTTACTCACACTTTTCCAAAACTTCGTCGCTGACATCATCATAGCCAGTTATCTGGAAGTTTTCTAATAAAAGTGCTTTCGACACCATTTTATTACTGTGGATAGCTTCCCGCCAAAATAATCCGAGCCAACGACAACGAACAACGGCCATGGAACAAACTTCGACTGAACCAAGAGCCGATTCCCACTATCCATTCTCTCAAAGATCGCATGCGCACTCCGCAAATACGGAACTTCCCGATTGGTTTAAATTGGTCAAATTTTCAATACCGAAAATTTAAAGCAGTTTTTTTCAAATCATAATATTTAATTTAATTTAATTTGTTATATTCAATTGATGAATGCTTACAAATTAACAGTTTTAGATAAAAAAAAAACAAATTATATTTATATAAGAAAAAATTTTATTTTTCTTGAATTTGAATGTTTTATTCAAAGGTATGTGCGTGTGTGTGCGCGCGTGCGCGCGTGTGTGTGTATGTGTGTGTGTATGTGTGTATGTGTGTGTGTATGTATGTATGTATGTATGTATGTATATATATATATATATATATATTTGCAATGCAACTGAAAATACTCAATTATTTAAAATAGTGGAAGGAAAGAATTTTTCATCTTTTTTCCATAACTTCATCAGTTTATCAGAAACACTGGGTGATGGGAATCGTTCAATCCATGATTGAATCAGTCCTTCAAAAGTGGGCTCATAATTTTTCAGTTGAATATTTCCAGCATCTAAAAATATTTATTTATGAATATTTAAATACATGATTTTATAAAAACTCAAATTACGTTATGTATAAGGTCAATATTTGTGTAAACATACCATCAATAGTTGTATTAGATTGTACAAAAATTTTTCTTGGTTGTTTGTGTGCTAAAATGATGTCTCTCCATTTGGCCCATGGGTGTGGACCACTCTCTGGTACCTCGCTATACTTATCATACATCTTTTGAGCAGCCTCTAGATCTGCAGTACTCTTATATACTTGTAACTTCTTCAAGAAGTCTCCAATAGCTTTTTTACCCACAGTATGAATCTTACTTCTATCCATTGTTAATCTCAAGTTTTTGCCTGGTTCAGTTTCAACAATTTTGATAAAATCTTCATCAGCTTCTAAACAAACTCTAAGTAATACATAACGAGCTTGAGAATGCGATTGTAGCCACTTTTTTGATGATGGTTGGTACATTTCCAAAGCTCTTGCACAGCCATTCCATAAAAGCGACAACCAATTAACATAGATAATATCATCTGCTTCAGAACCATCATAGCCAAATATTTTGACTACATCTTTGTCCAAGCTCAAATATAAGCCAACAGCTTCAGCTCTACATTCTTCATAAGATGATCCCAATGCTCCAAAAACTGAATCGTAAGTTTCCCCTTCAAAATAGTATTTTGTAATAGGTTCATGTGTGATTGGATTCTTTACAGTTTTTTCATCGAAATTGAAAGTCCCATCAGCATTTTTCCTAAACAATTTTCCACTACCGTGACCTAATAATTCATGGAGCCCTACTTGAACTTCAAAGCTTGCTACTCTGTGTTTATTTAAGAGAGCTTGGTCTTCTTCCGATACAAAAGGTATTACATCCTGCTTCATGCTAGCTGGAATGACATTTCCAAGGGAAACATTTTTGAATCCTTCAGATTGCCTAATCTCATCATAATTTGGTATATTAATTCCAGCCGGAATTCCAGATCCAGAAAATGTTAAAACATCCAATGAAGTGAAATCTGGTCTTAAAAATGTATCTTTTTCAAAATTCTTACCCCATGGTAAGTTTGGAAGTAATGTCTCAGCGCTGTTGACCAAAGTGGTAAACTTTTGAGACATTTCTTTATTCACCATTGCTACAAATCCTTCGAATTCTCCTCTTTGACCAGCTGGATCTCTATAAGTTTCAATGAAACCAATGTAAGTTTCAATAACAGGTCCTTTATCTTTGATCCAGAATCTAGATCCATTTTTGTGTTCTTCTAGAGAGCCTGTTACAAAATGTTCAATGTATTTGTTGATCATTTGAACTTCTGTTTCATTTGCTGCATGTTCTTTAGCTTTTTTCAAATTTTCAACAACAGATAACAGAAGTAGATCATAGTCTCCTCTGGTAATCTTAAACAAAGCATTTTTATATGTCTCTTCAAGAGTTATTTTGGCATCGTCACTTGTTTCAGTTGAAGCCAATCTTATCTCATATTTACATTTGTAACCATCACCTTGAACATCTGTTTTAAAACATCTGGCATTGTAAGATTCTAAGCGTTTGTTCTGCATAAACTCATTAACAAGCTTTGCATCGTCATCTGTACAATTGGCAGAGAAATAAGTAGAGATTCCTTTAGAGCCTAAACCTAAAGACTTAACTTCTTCTACCAAAGAATAAATTGCATCTTGAATCTTTTCCCATAAAAATTTCAAACTAGAAGTATCTTCCTTGTAAGCTTTTGATTCTTTAATTATCAATTCAAGCTTATCTATAGGAAGATTCGGAATGATTTTGCTGTCACCAAATCCTTTGTAGTTACCAGCATTTGAGAGAACTCCACATACATAAACTAAAAATGCCTGAAACAATTATATTTAAAATTTTCATTGAAAAACAATTGATTATTTAAGAAAATTTTTAAATAAATTAATTTAATGCTACACAGATATATGTTTAGATGCTAATTATTCAATAAAATACCTACAGTGAATTCATCTTTTGTAACACCAGCAGCAAGAGCACTTTTCTTTAAACTATCTATAGATTCAGCAAGGAAGACTTTGTGAATAAGCGCAAAAATCAATGGTGATTCTGGGGAAGTTTGTATAAAAACAATTAAACCTCCATTCCAGGATGCGTGACTGAGATAATGAGCATAAGACTTTTCCTTAGGAGTCAAAGAATCAAAAGCAGTTTTACATTCTAACTGAACTATTGGCTGACTGTTCGGTAATGTGTATAAGGATATATCATCACTCATTTTTCCAAATGTATTAAACTGTCTGTAATAAAAGACAAAAAATAAGTCAATTAGCCAACAATTTATGAATAGTACAAAATGAAACGAGTTTAATATTAAAAAAGCTAATTAATATATTCCAGTACAGAAATTCTATGTTTTTAACCTAAAAGTCAAAAAATCGAAATAATTATTTAGACAAAAGAAATTGTATTAAGTCTTCATAAAAACGTTAAAACATTAGATAAAATTATCCCAAGCAACTGTAAACCATTGCAATATATTTCAATAAGTAAATATTTGTAAATTTTGTAAAATGCCTTGGTTTTTAAGATTACCTATGCAAAGTCGTCAAGTTTGTAGAAGGGTTTCTTTGTGTGATCTTATTTCGAACAAGATCCGAGATACCAGACGACCGTATCACGCGGCTATGGCAAACTGTGAATAAAAATGAATTTGACTTGCAAAATTTGAACATTTTCTCACTCTTATTTTAACAATGAAATCTCCTTAAAAAACTCTTTCGTAGAACCGCGAGATGTCAGTTGTGATTTGTCAATTTTCAGGGATTATCCAGTTCTGAACTTCTAAATCCAAGAGTTAGCTGGCTAAATTATTATAATAAAATTATCAAATTATAAGTGTAATACTTACTACACGGTCTAGATAAATAATCTGCAAGCAATGAGCGGCGTTTGTGTGCGTGGCTAAAATTTCAAGGCTCACAAAATTACTTGGGTTGGTATGGATGATATATACGCTAGGAAAAGAAACGAAACAATTCGAGCGATTTCAAAACCGCTCTTCGCACGAATGATTCAAGAAAAACACTCGCGCCACCAACGGTCATACTCGTATTTTTATACTTTATCGCTTAACAGTAGTCCATTAACTCACTAAAATTGTACTTTCTTTTTAAGATCTACATGTTTTATAAACCACTAAACCACAAATTAAAATGACTTATTTTTTGTACATATGTTTTTATTTAAAGTTTGATAAATTTTGGTTTAAAGTATAAACCACAGATGAGATTTATGCTTAAGTTCCCTATGAGGAGAGTTGAAGTGAAAATAAATCAAAATGTTATGCAAAATAATTTGTTTGATGTATTACATATTTCACAACTTTATTTTTAAGAAACTTAAAATTATAGAAAATAATATACACTCTAAATATATTTTATACAATAGTTTAATTGATGAAATATTCAGTTTCTATATATTAAACAGCACTTTAAACTAAATTAAAATAAAATAAAGAAGATATTGTAGATATTTAAAAATAAGGAAATTGTTTGCACAATAAAAGTAGGTTTGTCAAGATGATTTCTATTTAAAAAGAGCCTTCATCAATTTGAAACCTATTTGACATTAATACTTATACAAATATTCTAATCAAATACTTAATACATACACTAATTTATATATTTATTTGAAATTATATTATAGAAAAAACATAAACCCTTTATATAGATTATTCTTTGACATCACCAATTCCATCTGCATTAATTGCAAATGTAGCTTCACTTTCTGGTAAACATGGAGAATCATAAATTTTACAAATCCTAGTTTCACCTCTTCCTTTACGGAAATACAATCTTGTTGTACTTGAATGAGCCAATATATTACCACCAATTGGTTTTTTTTGATCACCTCCAAACATGCTAGCAGCACCATCAACTTGAGCTACTACTTGATTAGTAATTACTACAGCACATCCAAATTCATCAGCCAAACGAAGCAACAATCTCATAAATCTAGCCAAATGATTTTGACGAGCCCCTAATTCACCTCTTCCAGTATAATCAGTTCTATAGAGTGCAGTTGCACTATCAATAATTAGCAATCCATATCTAGACTCTGACATCATAGCACTAGCTTTTATTAAAAGTTGAGTTTGGTGATCAGAATTATAAGCTCTTGCAGTGGCAACATTATCAAGAACACTATCTCCATTGATGTTATATCTTTCAGCAACAGCAATTAAACGTTCAGGTCTAAATGTACCTTCAGTGTCAATGTATATACATTTTGCTTCAGCACCTCCCATATCAACAGGCAATTGACAATTTACAGCTAAAGTATGACATAACTGAGTTTTTCCAGTTCTGAATTCTCCAAAAATTTCTGTAATTGATCCTGTTTCTATTCCTCCTCCTAAAAGTCTGTCCAATTCTGCAGAACCAGTAGTTATGTAAACTATATTTGCTCTTATCATATGAACTTCAGCTGCAGTCTTGAATCCCATAGCTACTAATTTTGAAGCTTCTTGAATAATTTTATCTGCTTTTCCTTCACTAATTCCTTTGATAGCCATCAAGGCTTTTTTGGGAGTATAAGCAACAGATTCAACCGTGAAATATCCAGCTTCCTCCAATTTTTTAATATCACCTGCTGTGATGCCATTGCCCTAAAATTATTAAAATAAGATAAAATTTGTCCTTTGTTAGGCAAAATATTCTGCTGATATACGATACCTCTAGCGATTTGATGAGTTTAGCTTGCCCTTGGCAATCTTCTGCATCGTCAACATCAACTGTTGCTGCTTCCGTGGTCATTTTGTTATAACTACTCTACACTTAATCGTCCATACAAATATCAAAAACCATTTGTGAATTCACGAAAATATTCCCGCTATTCTTCGCAGTTCACACCATGACTTTGTCAACAAGTATGGACATGCACACGCATTTGAATTCAAATGTTGTGGTAGGGATATCAACTCTCAAATTTAGGGCGTGTTCTCAACAGTAATTACCGGATCAGTTAAGAGTTAAAATGTTTAACATTATTTATAATAATTAATGCTATCATTTCTTATTTCTTATATTAGTTAATAAATTATATATGAATGTCATATATTGTTCATTGACTGAAGTATATGTATAGGTATGTATATACAGAGTCTGCGGACAATAATCCGCAACCCGCGAAATTCAAAATCCGGATTATTTTCAACGATTAAGCATCGATGACATTAAATGGGCTTTTTGGCAAGTTACAGGAGCATAACTTACCAAAATAGACCCTTTAGCATAACGACGTTTGATTTCATGGATATTTAATCTTATCGTCGAGAATAATTAGGATTTTGAACTTCGCAGTCGCAGGTCGTTAATTAATGTCATGGCAATCACAACTCACAGTGAAATTGAATTGAAGTGATTCACGTAAGACCATTCATTGCGTAAGATAGAGCGAGAAATTTTAAAATTAATAGAAACAAAAACCCGTAAATATAGGTATAGATCCTCCTAATAAGTTTCTACATCTTTACTTTTCGTAGAAATGATATTTTATTTATAATAATTTCTTATTTTTAATCAAACGAATCTAAAATTCAGTAAAAATAGATACATATCTACATAGCTTTTCTCATGGTATTCGCATTTGTTATTTTCATTATTTTGCTGTGACATGTAAAATAAATACAATGTTAATGTTTCAAGCTATGAAGATAATCCAGTTTCCAATTATTTAGTAGATTTAATTAGTTGTATTCATTTTTTTTAGTAAAGCAACGATTTGCACCAATACTTTCTGAAGTAACATCAATTTAAATGTAGCATTTTTAGTTACTTATTTAAGTAGTAATTAAAATTTTTTCGTGCAAGAAGCTAAGAAATTTATTTAAATAACTTTTATATAATAAATAAAGGTATTTTATGTATCTAGTTCAATTAATAGCACATCATAATGTAAAATACAAATAAATGATATTCTAACAGTCATGTCAAGCAAGACAAAAGGTAAAATAAGACAAAGTGTTTAATGTAATATTTAATTGTATATTTGAGGATCTTAAACGATAATATTATTGTCCATACAATATATTCGTACAGTGCCATTCATTCACTTTTGTTTATACTTTGTCAAAGAATCATATATTATTATTTTTCACCCTATATCTAACAAGTACATTAAGAATCTGTTAATACAAGTTTTATGATAGCAATGAAGTATCAACTCTTATGTCTAATGATATATTATTAAGATATGATTCGTGTGATCCATCTTTTTCAAGTTATAACACAAACCTCCAATGTCTTTAATATTTTTATCGTCTACAGATAACATATTTTTGTCTTTAAAAATCCGCAGTATCGTTAATTTTCAAATTGAAATTACATTGATATAGTGTCATTGTTGTTATTATTGGATATTTCAATCCATTGCTGCATATACTCTGCAATTCAAACTACAAAACTAAAATTTTGTATATAATTAAATAGCTATACGAAATTTCTTAAAATGTGTATATTTGATTATTAATCCGTCCTTTTCTAAGTCATAAAAAAGTACGAATATCAATGCGCGAGGTATGTTTCCGAAGTAAATATGTCTGTGACAACCGATATTACGGATTTATAAAAACGATTAATTTTAATCCTTTGATCGTTTTAGTTCATGATACCAATAATTTTTTTTTTTTATTTCGAGAAAACAGTCAGGAACTATATATAGTTAATGTAAATATTGATAAATGTAGAAGAAACGTACACAAAAATAATAAACGGAATCAAATAATTTGTCTTGAGCGTTTGAAGTGGTTTTCGAAGAACATTTGGTGCAATTTTTCAACATCTAGAGACTACAGTTAAATCGTTACGTGAGTATAACTAATATTTTTCTTTGTTTATTATTACTCTTATACTTGACAAAGAAACTTTTTGAGTGCCGAATGATTCAAATTAAATAATATCTTTCCCTGTTATATATTCAATAATTAATATTGAAAAATGTACTAATATAACATTCGGCATTCTTTTTATCGCATCTCCTTATCATATCTAATAAGGCACAAGATTCATGACTGAAATTAAGTAATAAATTTTATTCCCAGCTAAAATGTGATCATCTCTTTATTGGCTTGAGTATGGAAGGATATGTAGCATTTAATTTTTCAGGTGTTATTATACGTAGCATTACGTACCGCAATAAAGTAAATAAAATTTATTGGCACAATTCATTTTCCTTCTAAATAAACATATATTGTAATTTTATTACTGCGTTTCATAAAATATAAGAACATAGCTACTGCATTATATGCACGGTTGGACACTTACAGTCAATAATGTAGTCACAGTTCTTTCGGGAATAAAAACTATGCTACTTGAAAGTAAAGTAGATAGATTTCTACATGATTAGATATGGCAAAACCAAAGTTCTGCGAGAACAGCATTCCTATCCTCAGAAATAATCTTTTACCTTACTTGTTTTGCACAATACACTACATTAATTAATAATAATATAATTATAAATTAATATTTTTAACAAGATTATAAACTCATGATTAATGTCATCTGTATGATATACCTTGTTAATAAAATTGATTTTGGTACATATTACATTATTCTGTAAAATAATGGAACTTGTCGTATAAAAGAAAGGATATTATAAAAGAGATATCATTTTTCATGTTTATTAGAAAATATTTAAATTTTTCATACAAATGCATAGTTAAAAATCAACTAAGTACGTGTATTCGCCAATATTATTTCAAAAGGCTGCATTTGTTAAACTTTTCAATAAAATTTCAATTGTTGGGTGCAGAACATTAATAATATAATTTTGGATATGCGACAAAAACTTAATTGGATAGATATTATTGTACATTAAAACTATTTAATACTTTACAATAAAAATATAAATTGTAAGCTTATAATGTACATAAACGTTGACATATTTTGTATATTAAACTATATATATATAATTTATATATATATATATAGTCTGTATGTATGTATGTTTGTATGTATGTATGTCAATATTGGTACCGACTTATTGACTTCAGCATATGTTTGAAATTAATTGTAAATATCAAAAGAAAACTTAATGCAAATTAATCCAAGACCTTCATGTTTCGAAATTTCACACAACATATCGATATCATAAAGGCATAATAATTTGTAAAATTGGAAATTATAAATAGTCGTGGTTCCACCACTTATTATAAATCAATGGAAAGTAGCAGGGCAAAATATTTTATGTAGATATTAGTCATATGGTATTCATAAATGATAAAAATTGTCAATATGTATAGTCTCAAAAACGTGGTTCTTTTGAAGCCCTTCATATTTTCTTAGAAATATCTTTTATTTATTTTTATTGTAGAGTGAATGATTATGTCAGTACAGTACTTTGTCAATTAAAGTTAATTTATACATATCTATATCTACTATTTGAGACGTACAGCGAAGGTACTGCGATTGTACTATAATATATACCGCAATAATAAAAAATTAAACGCTCAATTTGTATTTCCGAAATTATAAAACAATCATGACATAAATATACTTTTTACAAGTATTGCAAGTCATGGAAATATAAAACGAGCCTTTAATTTGACCCAACTACATTTTAATGAAGATAATTCTCGTCTCATTCATAAATTCTAAAATTACAAAAGTTTTGCATGATTTTACTTTGAGACGAGAGTAGTAACTCGCCGTGGTCATTTTTTGTAGAGTGCGCCTGTAAGACTAGGAGTCAGTATTAGGTCCAATTACATTTACTTTAATATCATTGCATTCTGGACACTTTCATTACACTGGAACTAGTTTAGGGGTGTTAATTGTAAAAAAAAGTATTTTTCAATACAACGAAAAATGTTTTTAATAAACTACTTTTTTAATTCATTGCAACCTATACTAATATATGACCCAAGGCTTTGGCAGTGTCTTAAATTCGATTCTCGTATTCTCTTATGTTTGATTCAATAAAACAGTTTTCATTCGCACGGGTATTTATAAACGTATTTTGATATTATGAAAGTCATATTTAATAATCATACGATTAACGTCAAAATCTTTTCACCAATCCGAAAAAATCGACCTCTTTGATCTTTGATATGCTTCATTATCATCGAAGTACGAAATTACTTTCGGTAAAACTCTTGGCGCTAATTGTCCAGATTCCGTACACGATCGACAACAGAATTTTGCGTAGTATTGATGTTGACAATATCTGGCTGTGACAATGAGAGTGCAGTTAGCTAGATCTTTGTTGTCTTGACAAAGAGGGTCGACGTAAACATCTGTGGAATAATATTAATCCATTAGTTGCAGATTTCTCATACATTTTCCAAATAGAATAGTACAATTAAGAAATTTTTGACAAATACCATCAACGCGAATATGTACATCTTGCGACTGTAATGAATATTGATTAACGCCCTCACAGCGATAATCGCCGCTGTCACTCTTATTTGATGGATAAATAATTAAATCGTTGTTTTCTGAAAAACAATGAAATTTGTTAGGATATTATAATTCTTTTTCATTTCAATTTTTTTACCTGTAATTCTTATTCGATCGTCTTGTACTATAGGGATTTCATTTTTATACCATGTGATAACTGGATTTGGCGTTCCTGTTGCTCGGCAATGCAACATAATTCGGCCACCCGATACGTACTGTGCTTGAGGTTTTGTCACATTCACTCGAACTGGAGCTATTTACAATAAAATATATATAAAAATTTATACCGACAAAAAATCAATAAATAAAATAATAAGTTACGAGGTTAGTAAAAAAAAATTATCTCATACGTTTAAAGCTTATAAAAAACATTGCATGTATAAAACTAAAAACTACAAGTTAGTACTAGTCCATTTGTCATGCGATTTATAGCAGCACAAACTATTGTAGAACACTGCAAACTAGTATTAGCAATCACACAAATGTTAACGTAGAAATACTTTAGCAAATAAATTTGCGCTTTGAAAAGTTTCTGAAATAAATGAAACCATTACATGACTTTACTCTCATCTAACTTACTTGGGCGAGCATAAGGAGGAGGCAGAGTTGTAAGTGGTATGACAGCTGGAATCTCATACTTTTTAGTGGTGTAGATAGGAGTGTAAGTTTGGTTCTGCTGAACTTGGTTACGATCTGGTCTGTAAGGCCATTTGGGTTTTTCAGGTCTCTGGGGTGGTTGTACCAAGTATTGAGTGTAATGTTGTTGATCAGGTGGAACGTTAGCGACAGGACCAACTGCTTGTAATACAGTCGACCATTCGGCTGGTTTTCCAATGCCGTTGAACGCTTGACAAGTATAGATACCAAGCATAGTAAGCGTGACAGAGTGAATAAGTAAGGTATTCTCAGAGCCCTGGTGATATTGCTCAGTGTTCAATGGTAGCATGCTATCGTTACGCCACCATGTAACCATTGGTCGAGGCCAACCAACAGCGTAGCAATGCAATATAGTTGGTGAGTTCAGGTTGACTGTGATCGATCGGTTTGGCTCGTCTATTATTGCTGGTGGATTGTCGTGCGGCTCTGTTTCCCAAGTGCAAAAGCATGCGTGATTTGTTTTTTAGTTTAAATAATGTTAGTCTACACATTTTTCAAAGTTACATTAGATATTAAAAGTGCTTTTTCCTTGAATCACACCATACTAGATAGAATTAGTAAGATTACAAAGCACACACAACAATTATAGCTGTACATTTATCCAGTGAACCAACAACTAATCAACACTTACATTTAATTTTATGGATACAACTATTGTGTTATTAATCTAACTGCATTTTACTTACCGGTAACTTCTAATTGATATTGTATGTTAATTGGTACTGTGATTCCATTGTCTGCGGTACAAATGTAAATGCCAGTGTCAACAGGATATAAATTGGTAATCTGTAAAGATCCATCTCCTAGTATACGTCTTCTATTTTCTTCACGTTCAATCTGTATTAAAATTCAAGAGTATTAGTAATAAGATAAGCAAAGATTATCTTTAAAATCGAATAGCAGATTCTCGATTTATTTGTATTATTAAAACTCACGATTTTGGCATCTTTTTTCCACATGATAGTTGGTTTAGGTGTACCGACAACTACGCAATGCATCGTGACGTATCCACCCTCCTCAGCAGTGACATTTGGCGTTGCTGGCTGCTCTATTGCAACTGGTTCATATCCTGGTGGTAAAGTTTCCTGATTATCACGGTATGGTGGCGGAGTCGTGTATATTTCTTCGGACGCTGGACTAAGACAAGAAGCACCACATCCATTGTGGCAACATTTCTGCTCGCCGGTACAGTCGGCGTCGGTGTAACATTCCGTTTCACATCTTGTGCTGTTCGATACGACTGGACATCTTCCGGGTTTGGTAACTGTATACATTTATTCAAAACATTTATTAATACGTTCGTTATAAATTAATATAACCTATCAATGTATATGCGACTTTACCTGGATTACAAACTCCTCTGTACTCTGTGCCTTCTCTAGTTTGTACAAGGACAACCGCGCACTTGTGACCTTCGCTACATGAAATTGATTGGCATGGTTCAACGCACCGACAGCGTTGACAGTTCTGTGAGTCAACATAGTCTTCCTGACCGTAGGGACAATGAAGTTGTGCACAGTATTCCATAGCTTCGGCACAAGGATCCTTTGTGTCCTGTCCATCGTCCGGAATACTGTTGACTTCTAGAATATTATGAATACGAATATGAATCATAGATATAAGCAAGAAAAAATTATTATTAAGGATGGAAATAGATTTTCTAAAAATGTATTCCATAGCATAGTATATACAGCAGCATAACGGTGGCTTTGCTAAAATTGGGCAAATATATTACAGGAGCATATATATTACACAGCAATTTATTATTATTGGACGTAATATTTACATGAATATCTAAAGCATTTTATTTGATTTGAGGTAATGAAATTATCTAGAAAATAATTATTGTACGCATGCTGATCCCTTAAAAATTAACTTGGTTTATCATTATGAACTTACGACGACAAACTTTAAGACAAGAATCAATAGTCTTAAAGTTGTTACGATTTCCACCACAACCAGTGTAAATAAATGCCCTGCATGTTTGATATTCATCATCATAATAGAATCTCTTGTAATTGCCAACAGAACACGATCCAACATCAACAGGTTCTTTGCAGATTGCTAAACCACATCATTAAACGTGTTACATAATTTTATCTTTTTCATTTCAACATGAATGCATTAAAAATTTGAATTACTAAAGTCGAAAAGTAATATTTCACGAATCAAGGATAACTTACTTAAATCGGTAGATGCAGTTGCATTTCCAGTTTGTACTGGTTCTTCATGATGAATGCAAACCGATTCGCACTCGTTAGCTGTGCTGAATCGATTAGCGTTTCCATCACAGCCACCGTAGGTGAATTCGCGACAAGCTCTATATGTGACATCGTAGTAGTATTTCGGGAATACGCCTCGACAAGGACCTTGATCGCGTGGTAAATTACAAATATCTAGAAGCAAACAATAGAATTTGAATGATCCTCCCCTTAAGTAAACATGTAAAGGCTTATCCCAATGTCCTCATTGAAATCATTTTTATACTATTATCTCTATTATTCGAACAGTAACAACAAAACTAATGATGGATTTTATTGAATCCAATCTATATTGAATAAAAAACGTCAAACAATTTTAGTCAACAATAAAGTCTTACCTTGGTTTCTGAAAATTCCACACAACCTTTGGCACTGCTCTTCAGTCTGGAATCTATTAGCGTTACCCTCGCAGCCACCATAGATGAATGCTTGGCAAGCTTGATTATTACTATCATAGTAATAAGCAGTAGTCTCAGCATGACATGGTCCAGCGTCAGCTGGTTCGAGACAAGCTTCCAGTTGAGGACTATGCACTGATGATCTTGTTGGGGGTACCGTCGACAGTGTTACGACAGTATGTGACCCTGGTTGCCTTCTACGACAACGTTGCTCACAAACACGTAAGTCGTCAAAGTTGTTCTTGTTTCCTTGACAGCCACTATAGGCGAATTGGTAGCAAGCGTCCGCGCGCCGATCGTAATAAAATCGAGATATTGAGTCATTACACGGCCCGACCATTGGTGGCATTGTGCATGGATCTGAAATGAAAAATACATTTGAAATGAAACCGTAAATTTTTTGAATATTGAAGTGTAATAATAATTATTCACACCTTGAACGTCACCACATCGGTTCTCGCACTCTTCGCGGGAATTGAAGTTGTTTCCATTGCTTCCGCAGCCACTGTAGACAAACTGTTTACAGAAACCTTCTCTGCTGTCGTAGAACCATTTGGTAATGTATTGTTGGCAGGAGCCTCGTTGTTCAGGTAGGAAGCAGTATTCTATAAAAATATTTTTATCGTTTTTACTTTTAGTGTTCGCTTTTGTTTTGTTCATCTTTCAATTTTTTTCTTACCCGATGTAAATGAACCCTCGACAGGTGCACTGGTTGTCGAAATGAAAAGTGCAGTTCTAAAACATCTACCTTCGCATTCTTGTTCCGTTTGGAAGTTATTGTGATTACCTCCACAGCCACCGTAATAGAATTGCCTACATCTTTGCTCCATTGAGTCGAAATACCAGCGTTGCGTGTAATTATGACATGCGCCAAGAAGCGCTGGCAGTAAGCAAGTGTCTTGTTCTATGTTATGAAAGATATTTAGATTAATTTAGGTTTTTAATTTAAAGTCTATAACTAAAATGTTCACAACTACACAACTACAATTTTAAGCGATTTAAATAATATCTACTCAATATTACCAAAAAATAATCAGATCTAAAAATATATTTATTGCTTATTAAAAAATCTAATAATATTATATTAAGCTGGTTAGATAACGTAAAGAGAACTCCTTACCGTGTTTGGATGGACAATCTGACTCGCATGCATCTTTAGAGGCATAATTATTTTTATTGCCACCACAGCCAGTGTAATAAAATGGCATGCAACGATTCTCCTGCTGATCAAAGTGCCAACGCGCAAGCTTCTCCGTACAGTTGCCCTCCGAACGTGGCAGCGAACATGATTCTGTTTATAGTGAGTTCAAATACAAGTCATGCATGTGTTAGTAATTACCAAAAACAAACTCAGTGGACTAATTCTAAGTGACTAAATTTTATGGTGACACCAAAGTTCTAACCATCACCATAACCAATTTGCGATGTATTTCTATAATTTCTACTTGAATGTTAATCAAATGGAGTTATTCAGATACCTTCCTTTTTCTATTGCCATTCTTACTATAACTTTTATTTTTGCAAATACTTTTATTATTATGCTCACGGTGAAAAAAGAAAATTTTAGAAAGTGCGCGAATGTCAATGGATATACGTGGAAGCATGTTCGTCAGTGAATTGGGGGGATGCAATTATTCAATGTAGAGTTTATTGGATATTAGTCCTACTTATTACCGAATAAATTTAAGACATTAGTGTGCGCGTTTTCTATGTACTTGATCGAAAGCAACTTGACTTCCAGCATCATATGTGGGCTATACAGTAACTCAAAACAAATAACGCGTATGTGCATTTCTTTAAACTTAACAAAGCACTACAAGAAGTCTTCGGATCGCTTGATATCCTATACCTCGGTTTATACAGCGGTCTTCGCACGCAGTTTGAGTACGAAATTTATTGCCGTTGCCTTTGCAACCGCCAAAAATGAATTTCCTACATTCCAGACGTTTCGTATCATAATACCAACGTAGCAAAGAGCCAGGACAAGGTCCCGCATCTTTTTCCAATACGCACACGTCCTTCATTACTGAAATTTTATATATAAAATACGGATAGTTGCAAATATTTTATTTTATGTACGTAGTTGTCAATATTTTTCTTTCTTTATGTCGAAATTTTTTAAATTAAACATCGAAGAGACTTAAACCTAATTGATAGTTGATAAATAAAAGTTCATGCTTATTAAGTAGTCAAGTCAACGTAATTAGTATTCGAAAATTCTATCAAATCACTTATTAAAAGTTTCAAATGTTATTACTCAAACAATTTTTTCACTCAAAAAAAAAAAAAAAAAAAATAGAAAACAACAACTTTTAAAGAAAACCTATTATTTTTACTAAATAAAATATTAGATATTACTCGTATTAGCAAGCACATAGGTTTTTAATTTACCTCGACTTTGTCCGGGTTGTAAACATTGTTGGCGACAAGCTAAATCTGTTGGATAATTGTTTGCGTTGGCTTTGCATCCTCCGTATTTGAATTGTTCGCAGTTTTGTGATTCTTTGTTATAGTACCACCTTGTGAAGTTCCCTTCGCAAGGTCCAGGTTCTTTGTCAAGTAAGCATGGATCTGATAAAAAGTACAAAAGTTAAGGTAATTTTTCTTATACAACAGTTATCGATTGCAATAACGCATTTACCAGTATCAGTAGACTCAGAGCAAAGTTCCTCACATTCTTGACGAGTTTTGAAATTATTTTTATTTCCAAGACAGCCTGAATAAATGAATTGACCGCATTGCTTTCTATCGACATCGTAATACCAAGTTGGGTAGTAACCTTCGCAAGGTCCACCGATCTTGGGTAATTTACAAACATCTGTGCAAAAAAAAGAAAAAAAATATAACTCCTCTCGTTTATTAAAAATTTTTGACTGAAATACATTACCTTTTCCTTTGGGCTCGACACAAATAGCTTTGCAGTCCTCCTGAGTCTTGAATCGATTGTCGTTGCCGCCGCAACCTCCGTACCAGAATCTCGAGCAACCACCGTACTCAGTGTCGTAGAACCACTTGACGCTGAACTCGCGACAAGTGCCCCTGTCCCTTGGTAAAGCACATGCGGCTTGCATATTCGGCGGTACTTTGAGACAACCCTCAAAGTTTTCTCCCTGAGCTTCCTCAATTCCGTCGGGACAGCAACCAAATTTAGAAGTGTCACAAGTACAGCCGGCATAGTTTGGCCCTTTAGCTGAAGTTCTTCCATCGGAGCAGCATTTGAATTCGGTGTTTTCGCATCCACAACCTTCAAAATAATTATTAGCAGGAATTAGATAACATATTCCTTATACAGAAAATTATTTTTACTTAAGAGTATTTTACCTTGGTTACGAGGTCCTTTAGCAGCAGTAATGCCATCAGGACAACAGCCGAATTGATATGTATAACAAGGACATCCCTCATAGTTTGATCCTGCTGCAGGCGTAAATCTGTCTGGGCAACATCCGTGTTCCATGTAAACACAACCGCATCCCTTATTATTAGATCCGGTAGCAGCAGTTTTATTGTCAGGGCAGCATCCGAATCTAGACCATTGACATCCGCAACCATAAAAGTCAGACCCACGAGCTGGCGTGATGTTATCAGGACAACACTTGAACGGACTCGACAGGCAGCAGCCTTCTTTGTTATATCCATGAGCTGGCGTTTTGTTATCATCACAGCATCCGTACGTCGTATTGTCACATGGCAGTGCACATCCGGTGTTGTTTGGACCAAGAGCTAAAAGTAAATCACAATTATTGTGCGTCATTTAACTGGAAAATTATAAAATACTTTAATAAAACATATTTACCAGCAGTAGTGTTGTCAGGACAGCATCCAAAGTATGATGCAGTACAGTTTTTGGTATTAATAACATCACATCCTTTGAAGTTGGTACCATTAGCAGTCTTGTGACCATCAGGGCAACATCCATATGTCGAATTAGCGCAATCTTCGCTGACGCGACTATCTAAATTGACTTTTTGGCATCCTATAAATAAAAGTTTAACAATTTCAACATGACTATAAGTCCATAAATTCTAATTTCCCAACCTGAATTGTACATTACCTTTTCCTTTGGGACCAGTCGCTGCGGTTTTACCATCTGAGCAACATCCATATTTTGTCATATTACAACAACCAAGATTATCTTTGCCAAGTGCTGGTGTTTCTTTGTCAGGGCAGCATCCAAATCTAAAAAAATACATGAAAATTCATGTATCAAGCGATAAAATTAATTATGTGCAAAATTATCAATTACGTAGTCTCGTTGCATGGTTTCTTGCAACCTTCAAAGTCATTGCCTTCTGCAGGTGTAATATTATCTGGACAACATCCAAATAGAGTTTCATGACATTGTTGATCAGGACAACCCTTATTCTTGCGACCGGCTGCAGGTGAAACGCCATCAGGACAACAACCGAATTTAGTTTCTTTGCACGTGTGTGGAATGGGACAGCCTTTAGAGAATGGTCCCTTTGCAGCTGTGATGTTATCAAAACAGCATCCGAATTCAGTATGTTTGCATGGTTTAACTTTTCTAGGTTTGCACTTAGGAAGTTTGGTTTCCGTTGCGATTGCCGTATCAACAGGGCTTGACGTAAACACATCGATAGCTAAAATAAAATGAAGTCTTATTGAAATGAAATTGACAGGTTTGTAATATAAAATAAACTTAACGTACGAGAAGATGATTCTGGTTCTTCAGACGTGCCTTCTGGTGGCGTATCTGTGTATTCTGTTGTTGCTTCAGTTCCAGTTATCGTCTCTTCAGTTCCAGTTGTCATATCAGATTCATTAGGTTTTCCGCTTTCAGTGGACATTCCAGACACAGTTATTTCTTCTGAACCAGTGGTCATATCAGATCCAGTTGCTGTTATCGCTTCGGTAGTCGGGAACGTGTCGATTGTTTCTCCTGATCCGGCTGTATAAAATTCAGTAGATCCACTACTTTTAGAAACAGCAGTTTCATGTAATCCGGTTGTATCAGTTGACTCGAGTGATTCCGAAGTGGCAAACGCTTGAGAGGCTGATGTTTCTTCAGTTAGTTCACTCACTGTCACTGGTGACTCACTTGAACCACCAGATACAGATGGCTCACTTGATCTACTTGTTACAAATGGTTCTGTTGTTTCACCAGATGTAGTTCCTTCCGTGGATTCACTACCCGCTGGCGAAGCTTCACTGTTGTCACTTGTCTCACTAGCTCCAGAAACGTCAGTGATCGTTATTGATGAATCTGTGGTTTCTTCAGTGGATGGTTCTAGAGATAAAAAAAAGTAATGAATTATTTATTATCATAAGTTTTACACTGTCTATTTATACATTGAATTGTATAAGTCTATATTTAATAAAAGAGAAATTTGTACCAGTAGAACTATCTACTGGTGTAGTACTGTAATCTGGCGTTGATTGAGTGTTTTCTGTACTTTCACTGTCTGACGTGAGTGTCGTTTCTGTTGGCTCAGTACTTTCAGTTGAATCGCTAGAAATAGTAGAAGAATCGGTTGAACTAGGAACATCGGACGAAGGACCAGTAGAATAATCAGTCGAGGTCGGTGAACTATCAGTTGAAATGACTATACTGTCAGTTGAACTAGCTGAACTATCAGTAGAACCAGCTGAACTTTCGGTTGAACCCGGTGAATGCTCAATTGTAGTGCCCGCATTATCATGAAAACTACTTATAATTGTGGTTTCGTCTGTTGATTGTTCACTGGCAATATTTTCAGTAAGCTGTTCAGTTAATTTTGTATCATGAGTAGAGTCGGAGGAACCAGTGACACCAAACACTGTAGTTTCACCCGAAACATCAGCTAAACACAAAATAATGCTTAATTTTTTTCCTTCATCAATTTTATAAATAATCTAAAAAAATCATACTTGCGCCAGTTCCTGCAGATGAAAAGTTTTCGGTGGTTACTCTAATACCAGAATCTGTACTATAACTATCACTCGATCCAAATAAGGTTGATCTAGTTTCAGAAGTATCCTCAACACCACTGCCTTCATCAGTTGTAAGTGCTGGGAAAGTAGTATCGTCAACATTACCAGTACCGCTGCCTTCATCGGTAGGAATCCCATCACTGAACATCCTATTTTCGAAAGAAACGCTATATCCTGTACTTTGCATATCATATGGACTTACTGAGGATTCTTCTGTTGACTTGACAGTCGATTCTTCAGTTGGTTCTTGTGAATTCTATTGAGTGCATAATGTTGTTTGAATTATTTATCAATAATGATATAACGATGGCATTAGTTGACAAGAGAAGCAAGTAGCGTAATTCAACTTACATTAGCGTCAAAACTGGGACTAACAGATATAAAGTCTTCTTCTTCTTCCTCTTCGCATTCGTCTTCTGCGGAAACTAGAGGTTTATCCGTTGCTACTGGTATTAAGTCCTCTGAAAAATATAATAATTTGAATAATTTCATTCATATTAAATGGTACCAGTTATAAGATCGAATATGATTAAGTTATAAATTACCATCTGAACACGATACTGCTGCACAGTCTTTATTTTCGTCCATTATAGTTTTATAATCACATTCGTTCGAGGAAACTGTTTTGTTATCCTTCAAGCAAATGACTTGACGTGTCATTTCACCACCACCGCATGGTTGCGAACACTGATAAATCACAAAATTAGGATTAGTAGCGGATAATTAAGACATAAAATAAAAGTGAAAATAATATATTTACTTCGCTCCATGGCCCAGCGAACCATTCACCCTTGCACGTATCGGTTTCAGCCCGGCACTCTTTTGTACTGTTGTATTTTTCGTCTGGCTCGCATTTATCATCGGAAACTTTTGTCATTGTTTCCTCGTCTTTGAATGTTGCACAGAATACTTTGCGAGTTTGAACTCCAGTGCCGCATTCGGCCGAACACTTTAACGATCAAATGTCATTTACAACTTATAAGATACACTTTAACATGATAAAAAAAGACAATAAAATGTAATTTTTACCTTACTCCATTGAGTTTTAACCCACTGATATTCACAATTTTGCGAGGTATCACATTGTTTGGTAACCTCAGGTTTCTTTTCGCTATCACACATACTTTCTGAATAAACGGTGCCGTTTTGCGTGGCACACTGAACTGTTCTAGTCTCTTCGGTAAGGCCACATTTATCGGTGCACTGTGCAAGAAGGAGAGAAAAATTGATAGTTCCGATCGTGTGAATGGAAAGACAATATAAAAGTTTAGCAAACTCACGCCGCTCCAAGGAGATACGACCCAGTCAACTCCCTCGCAAGGCCTTACTTCGCAGGATTTCTCTCTTTCGGGAACTTGGCTCCCACAGGCAGAATCGTCCAATACTTCGATCTTGCCTTCATCGTTTTTTTTGTAGCATGTGACTTTTCTCGTTTGTTTACCTTCGCCGCACAAGTGGTCGCACTGTAAATATCCAATAAATATATACCCTTCGATTACAAGACGGAGAAGAAGTTAACAATAGCGTCTCTTACAGCAGGTAGCACAGAAAAAGGATAGAATTCAATCAAGGATGTAACGTACTCAGCAAAAAAATGTAAAGTACTTGCTGAGAGACGATAGCACTAGATGCAGCAACGAGAGAAGCTCATATAAAACTAATGCACTCACGGGCTTCCAGGGCTCGATATAGAAGAGCGGACAGTCGGTACCCTTGTTGCACTCCTGCTTATTGGTAGGCTTAGAGCCAGCTTGCAAGCACTGAGCCTCGTCAACAACTGTAGGAATACCGCCGGCGATGATCTGCTCGCACTTGACCTCACGTGTCTGCTCGCCGCCTTCGCCGCAATGTTTTGTACAGTTGGACCACTCGCTGGTGACCCATTCGGGTGGGCACGCTTCTGTACCACAACCCTGAGTATCCGCGGGCTCGAGTGTTGGGTCGCACAGCTTCTCGTCGGCTTCTTCGTTGTTGCTACGCTTTACGCAGCTCACTCGACGCGATTGGTAGCCTGAGGGATGTTTACGAGGGCGCATTTACCAACTGGCCGATACTTGCACTACTGGGCTTTCAGCGAAATTGTTTTCCAAGCGAGCTAATACGTATACATTTATATATACGATTGATTGCCCCGATATCAGCTCGAATTCACTTTATTGCGTTTTATTGAATTTGTCGCACGCGCGTGCGCCGAAAGCGTACAATTTTTTCGATTGCTTGAAAAACAAAAATCAAATAGAAGAAACAACGCCTGGTGTACGACAATAAAATTGCAAGCAGTTTAATTCCATAGAGTGGTTGATTAAATTGATACTAAGAGTATTTCCCTTCGATGGAGAAGAACTAGTCGACGTTTCTGTGCGATCGCTCTCTGCCAAAGTTTTCGAATCATCGATGATGTTACGATTATAGGTTGATTGAACTTTATTCATTATTCAAGAAAGGCTAAGTTCAATCGAAGTTTTTTCACTTAGAGAGCAAGAGAAGAAAGGGGGATGGGCGGTGGGCGAAAGAGGTAAACAGAGAGACAGAACAGATAAGACAAACCTCCTCCGCAGCTGGCACTGCAGGATGAGAATTCATCGACGACCCAGGTATAGCTGTCGGGGTCGGTGCGTTGAGAATATTTCTTGGGGATGCTATACTCGTAATCAACTCCGACATTATTATCTTGATATAGCAACTGCAACGATAAAAGTAGTATGATTTTCACTTTTTTTTTCTCAACTTTTTCTCTCAAACTGAATTAGTCGCGCGCGCACACACACGCACACACACGCACACACACACACACCATGAGATTGCGTCCCTCATTAACTTAGATCTCTCTATTCTCTCGCCTCTGTGTAACTAGCAGTTGAGTTATAAGCTCTTTCACTTACCACGACGTAGATGGCCTCTGCGGTCGGGCCGAGGGCAGTTATCGTGTCCGGAGCTGAAAATCCCTGCGGCTCTCTACTGTAATGGAACAGCGTACCGGCGAATCGCTGGCTCCGCGGAAAGTCTATTCTCCAATTGCCATTCAGATAATAGTGCCCAGTCATATTTCGGATCGCTGTCGACAATTTGGTGCAATTTACAAACTTTTGCATCCCCATAGGTTCAACGTCACGTGTCTGTGTGTTCACGTCACAATGCGACTCATTCACTTTCCTCTCATTCAATTTACCAGTTGGTTTTCATACGCTTTGCAATTTATTACATTTTTCAAGCATATCAACAGCGAAATATCTTGCAAAATATTTATACAGATGTACAATGCAGAACATGTTGAAATATTTATTTACAAAAACGTGCGATGTAAGCTTTAGTGTTCTTTCAGTAATTGTGAGAGATAAAAGGATGTTTCGCCTTCGATAAGTAATACATTCCAATTTTATTTACAGAAATGTATATTCGCACTGAATGAACGTGTCGCGAAATAAATTCCAGCCATTTTTCAATTTCGCTGAGATTAAAAAAAACTTTAAGCGCGAGCAATATAACCTTTCATTCAGTAAATTTTGATCAAAATTCTCAACCTAACACTTGCGATGTAATGAAGAAATTTGATAAGATATGAAATGTCGAAGAGTTAAAGATGCAGATAGCTTACGATTCTAAGAATCATTTCGCGACGCATTCTCTGGATTAAGCGTCTTATCATTCTTACCAAGATAATTGTTAGAGGGCCGTATCTCCTTGACAGCAATGTTGGTAGCTCCTTCGGGTATGAGTATGATGTCAGTGTAGCCTATTAGAAAAAAAAAGAATGAAGCTCTTCCAATCGAAATATCCATTTACAACGGCATAAAAAATCAATGCCACTCACCGACTTGTATATTGTCATTGTCGTAGCGGCCACGAACAGTATTGCAGTCGGATCCATCGCCGCCGCACTCACGACAGGCGTCCTCTTTAGCCTGGCTACCCAACATCATGTCACAACCCACCGGCTGTGAACGTCATCCACGTTATGCATTCGTTATTTCAGTAGCTTTACACTAATGAGCCTGACGTATGGCACTGATATGCGCCTGACGCGAGAACTATTACTATTACTATTACTCGTTGTTAACCCCGACAATGACAACTACGGCGGTCATTTGAGTAGCCTTTTTCACGAACGCTTAATTTACGTGCGCTTCAAGTTATTATTTCGTTTTGATTATTTAGCGTGAAATTTCACAGAATCAAATTTAATAAAAGAGACGATAATTTGAACATTAATTCGAAATAGCCACTTTGCCGTTAATCAACCATTGTACGTAAATATACAATATGCATAATGAATTTTGTCATCATTACAAAAAAAAATAATGAATGGACGAACCGCAATAGCACGAACTCAAATTAGACAAGTAAGCGAAATTTTTCACTTTTTTTTTCTTTTTTGTATCACTGCAGGTCTATCACGAATATAGTTGAGCGACGTAAAAAGGTGAGCCGTTCATTTGGTCACTTGCAAAACTCACCCTGCATTTGCCTTCGACGCAGACGTCATTTTTCTCAATATTGCAAAGCGTGCCATCAATCACGCTCTGACGATGCCTATAAAAGAACCTCTCGCCTCGAGGCATGCAATTAAGCTCGCATTTGTTGTGACCACCCGTGTACGGTATCCAGCTGTAAAAGCCAAAAGGAATGCTCTTCTTGTACCACATTGTCAAGTGCCATTTCGAGAATTGGAGATAACTAAAAAGGACAACTTGTCCTTTTGACTTTGTTTCGCTTTGCACAAGCTTCAAAAGGTCGAGAACATCGTTTCGTTCGTTGGGTAGTGAGTTTTTCTTTTAGTACGTGCGTGCCAATTATTCAGAAGCAGCGCGAGCGCACATACGAATGCACATGTAGAGTGCAAAAATCATGAATTATTTACAGAATAAGAGAGGATATGAAAAAACACTCACTCGTAATATACCCCTTCGAAAGGTTTCTGGTTAAATTCTGCGCATTGCTCCGTACGGAAATCCTTTGGCTCTCCTGGACATGGCTTTAACACAATAATAAAAATCAATATGACTGTTCGTGTTATTAAGGGCTGATATATGCGCTGTATGAAAGCTTTTGTTCAACCCATGATATTTCAGAGAATGAGAAAATACCATTCCGAATGATAATTCTTAACGTTCGATAAAACTGAAAATAATTGTTGATCTGGCAAAGTATTGGATTTGCAAAAAATAAGGCGGTTTCCAAAAACAAGCTTCAGAATGAAATCGGCTGAATTAATATTTTCTCAGCAAATGTTCGAATTTGTTTACAAAATTACGCTTTGACATAATATCATAAATCGGATTGAAAAGCATTTCAAAGCTGAAAAATTAATAGGTAAGTAGAGAGAGAGAGAGAGAGAGAGAGAGAGAGAGAGAGAGAGAGAGAGAGAGAGAGAACTGATAAATAAGTGGCAAAAAAATGTTTTGGCTGGCGGCGAAACGTAAACTGGAACGAATAAATAATTAAGCCGTAGAGAGGTGTGCGCGCGAGTACGTCTAACTTGAGGCTTAAAAAGCGAGCGAGTGCTAGCTAGTGAAAAATTTGTAGCTCTGTGTCACGCCTTCTCGCTCTTGCACGATCTGAAAAGCCCTCCACTCGACCCATCAGTCTCAGTGCACCTATTCCGTACATGTATGCGTATGCGTGGAAAGAGCGAAATACCGCGTAAGGGCAATATCGATGAATCGTCGCTTTTCGTCTAAAAAGAGAAAAAAGAAGAAAAGACGTATGTGTACACAAGCTCGGGATTTATGACAGCCGATTTTTCGCTTCATGAAAAGGAAAATATCTACTCTCGTATATGAAAAAAGGGAAAATGACAGCAAGGTTGAGATGAAATGAGAAGGCTGCCGTCGCTCGAGAGGATATGAGAAATTAGGTAAGTATCGTATGTAAAGTTATCATCTCTAAATGGATAAGGTTTATAGTCTTCATGGTAGGCATTTTATCAAGGTTGAGAGAGAGAGAAAGCTCATTGGATTTTCGAGACAAAATTCTTTAAAAGAAATTTTATTTAGACCCCCTGTCTCAAGAAGGCCTAACATGCTTCAATGTCTTTTTGGAGACGAGAAAACTTTTAAGGAATTCTACGGTATTTATCTTTTCATTTAAATAAAATACAGAAATATATCATTTATTAATTTTTATATACCAAATTTTATATCCTAAAAATAAAATTTTCGTTGTAGCTCGACAAATTGTATTTTTTTAAATGAGCTTCCCAAACTCCAGTACAATAATTAATGGCGCAATTTCAGTACTTAAAGGTATTACCGATATAACAATTTATCTTTATGGATGAATGACCCTAAAGCTTACTTCTATTGGAGACTTTCAATCTATTTTAAGTGCCTATGTTCTGTATATCGACATTGCAGCCACTGAATCATTCAAAGCCATCGCATTTTTGGGACAATCCATATTTTATAAAATGTACGCTACAGCGAGTAGATTACTTCTTATGCTAATAATTTAAAAATAGCAATACGAGTCAGACTTGTTAAAAATTTCATTAGAGCAAGATTTTGAAATGTTATTGACGTAGCTTGGAAAAAATATGTTGAAAATGTATATCAACAATATTTTATACAGCGTTATTCTGGTTAATATGTCTGTTACGCAAATACATGCTATTTTTATATTTTAATAAAAATAATTTCATAAAGTTCAATCCTTCTCGCGATAAAAGTTTACACTTCAAAAAGCAAAGTTATTTTGTAAACGGCAACACACAGCATGAATTCAATGTACCTTTTGAACAAATGGCTGCTGATCACATCGCGTTTACGAGATTGCTACCAAGTATCTATCTTTCAAGTTTGAGAGTACGCTGAATCTAGCAAAGTTTTCCGATTCGAAACACGTTTTTCCGGTGCGCAAAGTTATACATATAAAGCTACAGCTAAACGCATTGCTGAATTATTAAGCTTCGGAAAAAGACATTGTAAAGTATAAGTGGGTAGCTTGCCCTCGCACTCACGATCTTTTGGCATCATAGATTAAATAATTGAGCGAGTTTAAACGGGTTGCTCTATCTGTTCTGTCCAGCGATCAATTCGAACTTCCACTACTTTGGCCAATGTTTATTGCAAACCGAATTTCGCGAAAAGTACACCTTGAGAGAGGAAGCACTGTAATAAACGAATTCGTAGGTGGCGGAGGATATATATCTGTCTGGTAGTAACTTAGTGTAAATTAAAACTGGTAAATACGCAATGAATTAAAAATCATAGATCCACTTTTCAGTTAGATACATTTAATAAATTTACTAATGCAATTTTATCATTCATTTGACTGATCAATAATTTTGAGATTAAAAACAAGCTGAGAAATCAAACAGAATAAAATTCATCAATTTTTGAATGCGAGTTCGGGTCGATACCGCAAAAAATTTTAACAATGTGTATATATGTATAGACATATTATTATGTTTACATGTAACAGTATGTATATCGCTTGATCTCGAGTTGATCATTCGTCTTATAGAATAGCTCCCGAGAAATTAAGATTAGTGTATTACAAAATTCAAACGGGATCTGAAAACGATGAGACACATGACGATAATGACATTTATTATAAATGTCATCCATCAGCGAAAGTGAAAGTTTGTTTTATTTACGAAAATATATATTACAAGCCCGATCTGAAAAAGGCAAAAGAAATTATTAAAGAAAAAGATTTACATATTTATATTGAAAATAAATACGATTGAAGATAAAGACATAAATATTTATAGCAACCATAATGCTAAAGTCTTAAGTATTAAGACGAAAATAATAATTGCACAATTCTAACTACAAGAAAGAGATACAGTACAAAAATAGATTTTTAACAATATCATTCAAAATTTTTCTAAGAAAATAGTAAAAAAATATAATGCGACCATCGTCAGACATGAGGAGAATGAATTCACTGACCGAAAGCTGAAATTCTATCACTCAGACAGCTGATCTGTTAATTACAGGTAAAAATGGAATACTAATGGAATAACTATTACCTAACTGAAGTCAGTAATGCTTGGAACTGAACCATTTATCGTTTAACATCCAAATAATTTTATATATAACATTTGGTGCATATCATGATACCATTACGAAAGAACTAAATATCCATATCAACCTGAAACCAACAGAAAGTGTTCTTTATAAAATATTTTAGGATTACGACAGATGATAGACTGAAATGGAAGCGTCATTTAGATTATATTGTTAAAAAATTAGATATATTATATACGTAATATCACAAACAAATAAATTAATATAAAAGCCATAAGGATAATTTCCTATGCACTATTTCATAGCATTACCACTAATGATATTATCGCTCGGGAAGAAGCTTATAGTAATGCTTTGAACAGTATTCAGAAAATAAGTCAATAGGAATACCATATAAAAAAGCAAATAATTTAAAAATCCCTTTTAGAATAAAAAATCACTTCTTATTAGAGCGATAGAAGAAAATCATAATAACCTATCAATAGAATATACCACATCGAAAAGCAGAACGAGGCAAATAATTATGTCTGGTGTTAATAAAATATTAGTCCAACAAAATCATCAGTATGTCGCTAGTAAAATTTTTAGGTAATTTTGATATAAGAATGAAAAATAATAACGTTAAACAGCCCAACAGCATAATATTGTTAAAAAGATGTTTTCAAGATAATACGGACATTCTTATTGATATAGATGAAATTAAGAAAACTGAAATGTAGGGAACGTGATATGAAGATATTTACTTTATTTATGCCTATACATTATTATATACAATTTTAGCTATTAATGGATGCAGAATTTTATAACTTGTATTTTTGTTTATTTTGTTTAATGTGAGCCTTGCATATACATAGGTAAATTGTTTGACGCTTCAAACTACTTAGTAAATACGCTATATTCAAAAGTAATAATAATAATATCTGAAAAACTTAATGATCTTGCTAAGAGAGGGGATAATTCAAAATAAAAGAAATGACCTCGTAAATTTCAAAACGTCCACTCGATAACTGAAATGCCAAACAAAACTCAGCGAACTTTGGAATGAAAAAAAAAGTTCTGTGGGAAAAGAATGAAATCAGTTGTAGAGCGATGTCATCGCGGCATTGTGTTGTGTGTGAATCTTGGGGGTTGCGCGATCGATACAACCCAGAGCCGCCAAGTTTTCACCTATAAATCTGGTGCGCCGGAGTACCAGCAGCCGCCGCGCGCACGTTGACAGAGGATGGCCAAGTGCAAGTTGCTCGGTGGTTAAACTCGTTACTCCGAACAAATTATTCATTTTACGGAAGGGTCTACAGTGTCCGTCGTTGTCACCGCCGCGTGTTTATTGTTTCGTTCTGCGGCAAAAAGACGGGCGTCCGCAGCTTCTCCATGCGCTTATAGTGTACGCGTAGGGGGTTTGTTCAAGCCGACAATATATTTTCAATTGTGAAATTTACAATGCTCGAGCGCTTCGTTGAATGCGCAACTATAAATCTCCCATCGGCGAGTTATTTTAATTGAGAGAAATTGAAAGGAGGCAAAAATATTTTATTTCTGAATCACTCGCTGAAAAACTTGATTTACCGCGTAGTCCGAGTTACGTCAAATCGCAATGAGGTGGAAAATTGGTTCTGAATCATACGGTATACGCCCTCTCCTGCTCACTTATGAAAGTCGATAGAAAATCATTTTTATGTGAATTCGCGATAAATTCTTGAATTAAAAATAAGGGAGGCTGCAGACTCATAATGGAAATTTTTCATTACTTGAAACTGTTCATATCACCACGGAGCCGATCTCGCGCACACATCATAATATCCATATGAAAAGCCTCTCTTAGGGTGAGAGAGCACCACAAAAGCGCACCCATTACCCCCACACTAACAACTTTCCCCACCTGCCACGGCAACTTTTTCCAATAATTTTTTTTTTCATGATCCTGCTATTAAAAGGCGCCCACCCGCAAAACACAATGCCATTGTCCGGAATTTCTTCTTTCTTTTTCTTTATCCGCTGCCGTCGCCGCCTTCGTGACTATCCTCTATTAAATCATCTTCAAACAGCTCTTCGCTCTGCACTTACTCATTTTTATTTCTGTCGAAGTTATGGTCGGTATTGCGATAATCGAGAATTCCGAATGGCAAGAGCGCGACCATCAGTGGCTGATCGTCTGAAGAGTCCATTGACGATGCGCACTTGCTCTAGCGCGACGACATCATTAGGACAGAGAACTTGGCACGTATACATGCGGTCAGGTTTATGACCGACTTTTGCCCAAGTTGTACGTGCCGTCAAAGGCACCAGTACCGGCCTTCAACTCAATTGCTTTGACGGTTGTAACGCGATTATTAATACGTGCTTCTATGAGTTAATTTAGAGTTTGAAAACGAGATTCCTGGATAGTTTATTTTTGACTACGCATTTATAAGGATTGTAACGAACTAACTCTTACTAGAAATTATTAATTTTGAATGTTTGCTTATATTTTTATCTACTATTGGGTAATAAAAAGTTAGTCTTTATGCATTATTATCAAATTTTGATAGAAGTGCCTTTGGAAATCTTGTTGTAATAAAGCTGCAAAAGCTTTTAAACACTATAAAGTTTTATAAGTTTCTAAGTTTGCCCATTAAGTTTTTATTGCGAAGTAATTTTCGTTAGTGATTCATTAAGTAACTTCTTGAATAATTAAATGTAACAGGTAGGTCATAGGTTTTCAAAACAATTACAGTATTTCCATCTGATTATATTAAAAAAATGATTTGTTAGGTTACGCAATTCCTTTCTTTTTCTTATTTTAATGTAAATATAAATATTTAGTATTTTTATAAGGATCTTCAAGTATATATTTAACTCCATGAAAAAAGTATTCAAATTTAGCACCATTTGTAAAAATTTTTAATTTGGAAATACAATTTTTGAGATTATTATTCTATGTGCCATGAGAAACTTCAAAGAACTTAGGCCCATTACTGTGCAAGTTTTTGACTTCCTTTTTTACACCCATAAAAATACTAAAATTAACGAGTACAAACGCTGTTAGTTATCCTAGTGGAATGCTTCCTTGAAAATAGGAGACAGTGTTTATTTATATTTTTTCGGCAAAAGCAGTTCAAATATACAATGAAAAATATTTTTTTAAAACTGATAATAACTCAACACAAAATGACGCACTGCTCTTTTAATAAGCTGTTTCATCAACTAATGTTATCTCATAACTATTCAAGATCACGCTATAAATAATGGAAAAGTTTCGCGATGCTGCACTTCAAGCTTTCACAACTGACAAATTTCGACACGCGATGGTTGAAGCATGTTTGTTGCCGCAGATCTTCAATTGTCATAAAAATAATAATTCCTAGACTGGTAGCGTGACTACTCAATCATAAATATTTTCTTTTAATTAAATAACTCGTATGTTATAATTTGCTAAAACAATGAATATAATCATGTGCGAAAGAATTATTTATTAACGATAATAATATCAATTTATTGGCAATTTTATTATCTATTAAAGCATTGATATTAGCAGCTTTACTAAGCTCAAGGCCGAATTCAGTGTCAATATTAATTGGGTTGAAGAGTGTGTTATAATTGTACATATAGATATTATAGCATATTGTTAAGTTCCTCGACGACTGTAAACTAACTATCTAGACTGTAGCTCTATCGTGTATCTCATCAATATATTTATAAAGCGTATTATTTATTCTGTACACTACTCTGTATATTATACTACTCCCATGTAAATCTCGATGTAACTCACTTTTTCAGCATTATAACCCTTCTTCTGGGTTGAAAATGCTCTAATAAATAAAAAAAAAAAATATCAATTTATATTATTTTCAATCGTGCAAAATGTATTAAATCAATAACCGAAAAGTGTGATATTTAAATCATTGTTTAGACATATATCGATGTAGTATCTTATAATTTTACAATATGCATAATCGTATTGATTACTATAATCTATATATTTTTCAAGCTTGTCAATATTTGTGAACATTGTAAAACAAAATGAATTAAATTTATTTCACATGTTAAGCAATAACTTGCATATTATAACTAATAAATAATATAATTAGTGAATGTTAACATTTTTTGTGATTTAACCACAGAATAAAAATTAAAAAAATTGCAATGTAGAAAAAGATTTACAAAAGATATTCTCGTTACAATCATATAAATCTTTTTTTATACCCTTTATTATGTAAAAAAATAGTACATAAAATTGAAGTTATTGTCAATGATGTACGTACATAATATACACACACAAACATACATATAAACTTTTTCTAAAAATGGCATCTTTATGTTTTCTAATACATTCGTACATATTTCTATAACGATTTTAAGAAAATTATTTTTTTGATCAAGACAAAACTTCGTCTACGAGAAAGGAAAAAATGTTAGCTTTGACTCTGTAAAGTTAAATACTTCAGTTCTTCCTACTGCAAATATCAATAAATTTCTAGTGCTGTGACACGATTTCAACGTTTTAATTACATTTTTAATTAAGAATATTAACGTTTTTTAGAACACGTAGGTTAAAAAATAATTTAGTTTGTACAGATGATATATAAAATCTGTGCTTCTTTTCAGTAGATAAATTAAATGTAACTTGAAATTTACTTTTCTTATTAAAAATATAAATAAATGAATTACATAGCAGTATAAAATAATTAAATATTAATACATGATTTTCAATAGAATCTATCCGATATTAGAATTGAATAAGAATTTCTACCCATGTCGAGAGCAACGTTGCCGCAAATCACATCATTTTGCTATCAAAAAAGGCAAAAAAATCAGTAACAGGCAAACCACTTTAAGATGCGCATTACTTTCATCTTTCATATGCATCCTCAGCTAGTAAGCAGCAAAATACAAATGGAAGGAGACAAAAGCCAGAGGCGCATTTTTAAGGGGCGCGCGTCAGAAACAAGGCTCGAGGATTCACGCGCACGCGAGTATATCAAACCTCGGTCTAGCGTGTACATATAGGATAAAGCTCACGGGGTCACTATAACTTTGACGCGTTCTCTCTCCTTCCATCAAAAACTTTCTCCGGTTATTCTGGATTTAATTCGTTTTTGCGCGCGTGCACACGCCGGTCATTGTAAAAAAGTTGGAGGGCTCGTTTTTTTATGCTTGCGGTTTCTGCGGATAAGGGCGCGCGCTGTAGTTTTATAAAGAATGCGCCGTTTTTCCTCTCATTTTTCCTCTCTCTCTCTCTCTCTCTCTCTCTCTCTCTCTCTCTCTTTCTCTCTCTTTCTCTCTTTCAGTTGTTGCGCAGAGCACAGGTTCTTCGCATGGAATGAGATAAACATCGATGGCTCTTTTACCAACTCTTTTTCTTTTTTTCACTTTTCTTTCCATTCTTTTAGAACTTTCGCTCGTTTGAACACGAGTTTCATGAATTATACCCTGCAGCTTGTATATACATTGTTAGTTGCCTTCTTTTCGAATGATTTAAAATGTAAATACCTAAAGCTTGCCGTCGCAGGTGAAACATTTTCTCTGCCCAGGCTATTCCATATAAATCACTACCGTTTAATTAGAAAAATGAAACACCGCCAGTGTATATACGACAAGAGTACATCAATGAACTTTCTATGGCTGTCGTAACAGTTTTAATAACGCCTTTAATGATAGATAATAAACTTACCTGGATGTTGCAAGAGAAGAATTTTTTCTTGGCACCAGTACATCTTTCGTTGTTATACTCGCTGCAAACATAAAAATATAAGCAGTTAATACAATTACCCGCGGCACGGCAAAATTAGATGGAGCAATTTATTTTTTAAGTGGCATAGTTAAACTTGTGCTTGTGAGGGATTTATCCGCGAGCTACGATTAACTAATCAGGTGAAGTTTAATTGCATTCGACGACCTTTTCTGACTTTTCGTACGTAGACGAGGCGATGGTAGTTTTGGCTCTCTACAGTTTAAGCCCTCGAGTGAGAGAAAGCTTCTAATCGTGCTTTACAGCCCGTTAAATCGTTAAATGCACTCGGCGACGCTACGCGTCGTCGCTGTGTCGAGGCGCTTAACGCTTTTCTTCTTTCGAAAGTGGGACGCGCGAATGTTTTTTCCCCGGCGCGTGGCGTGACGCGGATGGGTTGCCCCGTGCCCCCTGCCAAGCTACAATCCCACGATCAAAAAATACTTGAATGGTTACTGGTAGAGAAAAAAAAACATAGGTGGATGAGAAAAAAAAACATAGGTGGTCCCATTGAAGAGCTCCTTTAATTTCAACCTTTTATTTTTATTCGACTGTAATGATCGCACGAATAGTATTTTTACATGAAAGCGATGAAACGTTATTTTGTTTTCCGTCCTAAATGAAATAGTTTTAGTGAATTAGGTCGACGAATAGGATTTCACGTATTTATTTTTCCTTTGTTAAGCGGATAAAACGAATGTATTTTTTGTATGGTTTGTTATATCAGCAAATCAACGAAGAGCGGTATGCAGGCTTGGGTAATGCCTGCAATGTATTATATTATTCAAATATCGAATAACGATTTAGCCGAGCGGCGAGAGCACAGACAGCAAAAGTTGTTTGAATATTTTTCTTCGCTGCGACTGATAATGCGGAGCGAAATACCGTTTCCATGTTATCTTCTACATCGATTTACTCAGAAAAATAAACGTGCTTGCACATTCATATTTGTACGTATACTCGAATCAATTATTCGTGGCCATTAGATCAACTGAATGATTTTAACGGACATATATTTACGACGAATCAGTTAACCTATATAAACAACCATAGTTGCTTATACTTAACTAGGGCATTTCCATGAATTTAAATAAGAACATTAAGACTTACTCTCGATCGAGACACTCGCGAGTCTGCTGGGAAACACCGCCACCGCAAGTCCTGGAGCAGGGGCTTGGATGAGACCATGGTCCCCAACTACCTCTCTCGGGATCCTCGTTGTCCAGAACATAAGTTGGCGGTGCGTAACTGTCACCTTGCTGTCTCCTGTGCCTTTCGTGTCGTAGCTTCACGTGATGCTGCAATCAGAAAGCATTTTTCTCCATTTACATTTCTTGCGCACTCTTTCAATTTCTTTTTTTTTCTGCTGTTCCCTCCCTGTTACGACGGTAATAGTTTTTACGATGCTTTTACTGCCACCCTGCTTGCTACCGATGCGTCGTTTTAGCGATTTGCAATTTTCGTGCACACGTAGTTCTCTCTGACTTTAATGTGCCATGCAGCAATTCACGATTCTTATTCATTAAGGACCGAGGAGCTGCTATGATTTAATCAGAGCGAATGCGCCTTTTATTTCATGTCGAATGGTCATTATAGTCTCTAAGATTGCAAGCTCCTGGATTCAGCACAGCTTTTAATGCTTCAATAAACTTTGCAACTAATGCTTTTATTGCTTTTATCGTCTCCGTTATTTGCGGTTCAGCAAGAAAATTCAAGATAACTGTTGATCTTCAAATATTAGCAATTAGCAATTCGCACAGTGGACTATATGAATTGATCGGCTTGCTTTGAATGTGAGGATACTTGAGCATTCGTTTATTCGAACTAAAAAGAGGGACGTCAAGAGTAGCACCAAGTGGGCCGCGCGAGGTCTAAAACATGCGAGCAGGATGAGCGAGCGAAGATCGTCGAGGGGCTTCAGACTAATTTCAGAGCAAATGGAGCTATATGATGGAATTGGCTCGAAGTGCCCGTATAACATTTCAATGGATGGGTCCTTCTGGCACATGTTCAAAGCAGTTTGCATTGCACTGTAGGCAGACACGAGGGTGAACTTTGAGATGCGGTTACCGATAAAATGATCACACCGACGGTATATAGCTGTGCCTTGTCGCCTGTGACTTTCTAGATAATTCTTTTCTTGACTATCCTCTCATTTAACTATACAAATATCTATTTTTATAAAAGTCTTTTCTTCTTTCGATGAAGATTCTTTGCGCAGCACTTGGTAAAGCAATTTAACAATTTCCATTGAAAAAGTTTTGCCTCTGATAAACTTTGCAACGTGCAGGCGGCACAGCCGCAATAAACGAGAGCACAGACAAAGGCGGTATGTCATAATTGCGGTGCTAGAATTCCATATGCCCGATAAAAAAAAAGAAAGAAGGACAAAAAGCCTTCTTTCTCTCTGACTCGAAAAGAGAGAGGTAGAGAAAGAGAGAACAGACAAACGTAAAAAAGGCTCTCGCGTGGCAAACTCCGGTAAGTGGATGCGTGCAGCTCCAAATGCAATTAGAGAAAAGGTCCGGAGAGAAAGAGAGTGTGGACGTTTTATTTCTCGCCCGCAATCGCGTGCAACGAGAGATAGACAAAAGGGAAAACGAGCACGAGCAACAGAGAGAAAAACGCCCTCGCGCAAGATGCGACGCGTTGGTCGTTGTCGTTTACTCGACAGCAGCAGCTGCTGCTGTGCGGTGATTTTTATTATCGAGCGTGGGAGAGGCGCATATGCATTTGCCGCGTTAATGAAACTGTACGGCCAAACTAGGGGGTTCTATTTTTCCCCTTCGTTTTTCACGACGGACGCGCGTACCTACGTACACATGTGCGCGCGCGCGTTGTGTACTGCTGATGGTGAGAAGCTCCTAGGCGAGAAGTTTAGAAGGCTAGATCAGCTCACTACCCGTGTGAGCTTACATACATCTGGACTGTGTGGAAGAAAGTTCAATGTGCTTTCGTGAACCTTTTTTTAGAGGGGGCGAGGGTATTTCAAGAGATGAATTAGCTCGTTTCTATTTCCAATTAAATTTACAAAGGCTTATTTCACCGAGTTTCAATTTCATTGTTTGTTCATTTCTCGGTTAATCGACTTTGAGAAATTTATCAATTCGGCTACGTAAAAAGTGTCGAAAATTTCACGTTTGCCTGTACCGGCGCTATATTGTCTAATAATTTGCGTCCATAAATCAATTTCCAATTACGTTTATATAGTGCCTGACAGATGTATTTTAACAGTATATCGCGTGAATTCAATTTTAAGAAAAAATCCATACCAAATTTTTTAATAACGCATAAAATCTGATCTTTTAATAGTAACAATTAAAACATAATAGTCACATTTCCAATTCAATAAGCAATGTAGGCGGCGTTCCACCACAAAAACTCGAATGCCGCAAGCGATCGCTCGGTCATTTTTATGACTCGATCGTTTATGCAACCCTTTGGCTAGTGTTTTTGCAATGGATCATGCGCGCGATCTCACATACGATGCGGAAAAGGTTTTACAGCATCCCGTTCCCGCGCTCACTTATAACACTCTCGCTTCATCTAATTTATGCTAATTGCAACAGATTCCGTTGCCGACAAGTTTAGTTCAAAGACCTTACAGGAATATCTCGCGTGTTTTAGTCATTATTCATCATAATTTTAAATTGATCCAATTGACGAATAAAAAGCTCAAAATTTACTGTCGCAAAACAGTCAATGCAATGAAGTCGAAAAATATATGCAAGTAGCGGGAAAAGCTCATTAGTGGAAGTATGCGAACGATTAAAAGGTCATTTAATTGCATGAAGTACGTCTGTGACGCAGATAAGTGCGTTGGAAGCAAATGGTGACAATGACTTTGGCAGCGTATGGAAACATAACCTCGCTATTTCAAATAGCGCCAGTGAAACGTAATCCGTATTTCAATAGCGATGATCTAATGCATATTTATATCGCGCGCGATATTATTGAATTACAGACGAAAATGTCGTCTCTATGGGAGTAGCTTTGTTTCGTCCAATCAATTATTATAATATTTAACCGAACGATAAAGTAATTACATTCAAGGATCAATGACACTTTAATGTGTAGTGTTTGTATAATGCGTAATGTGATTTGATATATGATGTCAATGACCTTTTGATAGTGATCAATTTAATAACGTCAAAATATTTTCTTATTTCTTCTAACTATACGAAGTCACTCGTTCATATTATTTCATTATTTTCATAAACTATTTTATATTGTTTTTCGTTATCTTAAATAAACCACAAATAAGTATATATTTCAATTTTCTATATGAGTACAAGATTTTATAAATAAGTTTCGACTTAATTATGAAGCCACTATTGTTAAATCGCTTTCTACTAAACTTTGTAAACTTTGCAGTGATAACATTAGAATGTGAATAAACGGAATAAAAGAGAAGTTAAAAAAGAGATAAATATACGACAAGCTTTCTGAATTCAAAGTTTCTAGCGCGCCCTTTCGTTGTCGAGCTGCCGTACCATCTAGAATAAAATATTTCTGTCCGCAGCAAAGATGTCGATAACACGATTGTCTTAAAATGAATTAAGAAAATCAAAGGATCATCCTATCGAGCGCAAATACGATTTGATGTGAAATCCTACTTAATTAGCGTATCCGAGAGGATCACATTGACTTAATTTTATTGCTAACGCTTTCGAGAACAGAAAAAAGAAGGGGAAGAGAGAAGAAAGGTTCAAGACGTTCTAGTCGTAACGACCACTTAACGCGGATTAGCTACGCCGTCGGAACAAGAGTTCGTTCGTTCCACGGGAGGATTTCGTTCGCATGGCAAAGTCGCATCCTTTTTATTTGCATCTCTTCGTTCAAAAATTTCTTCTTGCGCGTTACAAGATTACGCCGAGTGCCGTGGAGAAAATTTTTTCTTGTTTGCTCCAAAAGTAAGCTCTTTATTGGCAGAAAAAAATCAAGTGGAAACACGAACAGAAAATCCACCTGCAAGTAAAAAATGAAAAATGAAGATGTATTAGATTAATCAACTTTTCATCCCCAGGAAAGTGAAAAATTCACGACATTGAAGCGCTTGGGCTACGAAACGAAAAGCATGTAAAGGAAGGCGCAGAGAGAAAGAACGACGATAAGGCCAACTCATTCACAGGACAATACGCTCGTCTATCTGGCGTCCAATGGAGCATTTCTTGCTTTAACGTGATGACGACTACGGCAAAAAAGTCATCAGGTCATGAGGAAAAAACGAACACTTCCCTTTTATTCCAGCAAGGAAGTGTCCTAGCGCGCACACGCGAGCACTCAATCTCGCATGCACCCCGCGAGCACAATGGAATGCTTGTTGCGTGCAAAAAGGATTACTCTTCAGCAGCGCAAGCTTGAGCCAAAGGATTCGGTCTCTTTAATTTTGTTTTTCATCCTTTTTATTTCGCTGCACAGCGTGCACCTTCCCTCGTGGCGATTTTCTGGCCAAGCACAAGCAAAGGATTGTGTACACTAGTCGCCGGGAGTGTATCTTGAACGACAGAAATGTTTACACTCCAGCGAAAGAATATAACCCACTCGTTGTCTTTTAAAAGCGACACCGGCAGAGAGAATAATAGTACTTTATGATGCTGTTTCTCGTGATCAGTAAATCTTCTGCGACGATATAAACAACAAGCAAGCCGGCTCGCTGACAATATTGTTAAACAGTAGATCCTCGAAATCTCACAAGCCCTTCTACGTTAAAATGACGGCGCGATCATTAACCGCGCGCCTGTCGGCTTTTGAAAGCTCGGCTGCGCGCGCATGAGAAACAAAGCGGAAAACGCCGAGAAATTTTTAATCAGCGCGCAACGTTCCTTTCTCTCTCTCTCTCTCTCTCTCTCACTCTCACCCTCGGCTGTCTCGCCACCGCGAATGGAAAGACAGCCCCTGCGGCATACCTATCCCTTTCTCTCTCTCTCTCTTTCCTCCAGGATCTTTATTCAGAGCCGCCGCGCTTGTGGAATGCGGAGAAAAGACCGCGCGCGCGAAAAATAAAGAATGGATTAAAAGTACTCGTGTATCGGGTTTCATGTAACTACGTTTGAGAGATACACTAGCTAATTTACCTGTGTCTACGTATGTGTGTGTATCTGTGTGCGGGTATTTGCGAATTGATCGCAAGGTTATTTCCAGAGTCCTCAGTAAAACTATATACGTATACCAGTTGCGACTAGATAGGAAGCTTTTAATTTTATCTAATTAAATGGTTTGAACGTTGGATAAAGCGCTACTTTATACACGACCACGCCAATGCGATATGTTCCGAAAGAACAGTATAAACTTGAATATTCACCGAGAACGTACCCAAGTTGACCAATCGAACGTATTCAACGAGAACGCGCTCGTGAGATTTTTCGTGTCGAGGGATAAAACGAATAACGACGGTACGGCCTGACAAAAGGACCGTAATAAAAGCTTGACCAAGGCCATGGCACGTCCTTTTTTATTTCTCTTTGGCCCCCTTCGCTTGATTATGCGGGCGTTTTATACCCTCGCACACATCCTGAACTTGGGGCTAACTCGAAACAGCATTCTGCCCTCGTCTCTGACGAGAATGTATATATAATTACGAGCAGTGTACTTACGTATCTAGCTTGGGTCACGTGAGAGATTTCCAGCACCAGTAGGACCAGCAGCCACCTGCAAAGCAAATCGAAAAATTTAGCGCTATCGATTATTACTGTTACAAAGCTCACGAAAGATTATTGTTCAATAAAAGCTTTATGGTCCAAATACATTAGTGTATTTTATATCACCCACGCATTTATTTTATGTTGAAACTAGAGATAAAGAGAGTATTTACCATAAGGGAAACAAACAAGATTGAATATCACTATGATTATGGAGGGGACTGTGATTTGCATAATTGACAATCGAGTTTAATATATCGTTACACTTGAATTTTGCACCGAAAATGTCACATCCGTCGCATCAATTTCCTGACAAAAAATGCTTGCCGAGCAGATATGAATCTTGCATCACTATTCTTTGTCAGCTTTTTCGAAATATCATTTAAATTATTACATACTGAATCGGTTAAGCTGAAATAAATAAAAAACAAGAGCAACCTCAAAAGGTGCCGTATGTATTTCGCGGAGCACAAGGCAGTTAATATGGCAGTGGACTGCGTAGTCGTATAGACACATATCTCAAGAGCTAGAGAGTAGAGCACATAATAATCTCGTATAAAGCCGGCAACGTGAGCGCAAGCTCGTTTGGTCGACAACGACGACGACGACAACGACAACTGCGATGGAAATCGCTTTCGATGAGCCAGCCAGAGCAGGCCGCTAGATAACTTTCGCGCGACCGTCTTATCGACGTAATAGCACCTAGCTCTGACCTACAGGGCTTTTCGGACACAACTTCGATAGCACGGCTATATCAACAAAGCAGTTTTGCCCTGAAGGAGAGTCATCTTATTACGTCGCGCATCCTTTCCGGCACGAATGCCTATGGGTGGGCGTGCACGCGGCTATTGTTGCACGACCGACAGAACAGTCTTCTTCCTCATACGTGCTGACCGTGCACGTTGCGAAAGTTGCAGTGGCGAGCGTAAAATTCCAATGGCGTGTGCTCTCGCTCTCTCGTACGCTCGTGCGTGTCATTGTGCCGATGCTATTATTATTATTATTATGCGTCAAATCGTGGCAATGATACACATCTCATTATAAGCTTTCTTCCTTATTAACGATGCAGCTTTGCAAGACGCGCAACACCATTGAAGGTATAAGGTGTATTTCGGCGCGCTTGTCAGCAGTGCGTCGCAACCACGTGCACGCGAGCGCGGCAACATGTTGGAACGTTGCCTAAAGTGCAGCCAAGGCGAAGGCTGCTTTCAAGTTTATTTACTAACTAGCCGGCTGCACTTTAATGCGCAGCCGCGCCACCAGCGCCGTCTCGATATAAACTTCTTGCGGTTTCGCATCCAGCCTTCTTGATAACACAAAAGCTTAACGACTCGGTTAACCGCTGACTAGGCGGTTAGTCAGCTTTATTGCGCTAACGAAAGATACGTCGAGCGAGTAAAATAGTTTTTGAGAGCTAGAATTATCGATCGCTCGCCAATAACACTACGGAGATCGTGCGCCGAGAGTGTTTTCAAGCTAGAAATTCATGATGCAAACGAGGCACATAAATGGGAATAATTAGCAGCTAATCACTGACTGCTCCCCATGCGCGAATTTCAGCCGCGCGGCGAACTAAATTTATCGCGCCCAGTTAAAGTGTCGACACCCTTGCGGGACAATATTATTTAATCGACGCTCAACCACTAGCCTAAACTTTATTAAATACGGTATACTGAGCTTCGATAGACTTGCGAATTGACTTCTGCTACGTTGGTTCTAGCCCTAAAATAGAAGTTCATGCGAAGCATGAATATGCAAATACCATACTGAAGAGCGCGGAGAGTTATCCTCACTCTCTTTCGACACATAGGGAGGGGAGGATATTCGAATAGCTAAGGCTCTCTTCCTACTCGTCATGCATCCCAATTCTGTTTTCATTTAATTATAAATGTTCTTCAAAACATGTTTTCGACGAGCAGTTTATGCTATCCCTCTCCGCAAAAACTTGAGCGAGGAAATTGAAAAATTGTTATGCCGCTCAACATCAGTTAAAAAAGTTTTGACGTAATTCGCAACGCTTCATTTTGAGAATGACTTAAATGTTTTCGGTAGTACACACGAGAAAGTTTGCAAGAATACCGGAAAAATTAAAAGTTATGACGACAGTCTTCGAAGTTTTCCATCGGCTTGACAGGTTGACAACAAAAGACGTAACGAGTCGCGAGCCTATGCTGCAATTTTCAAAATTGTCCGCAGTATGATTGAGAGAGAGAGAGAGAGAGAGAGAGAGAAGGGGGGAGGGGGGCGGAGAGACGGAGAGCTAGCGGACACTTTACGCGAAGGAAGAGCGCTTAATTATGCAATTGCAAAGTAAAAAGCGCCAAGGTGGCTCTCTGGGTGGAATATATACGTAAAAGAACATTTTTCCTATAATTTCCCTTGGCACCTACTGTCAGGAAATGCAATTAGCCGGTCGGTAAATTGACATAAAATCGTCATCGTCAATCTTAAATTACTTTCAAAGTGCTTCACTCTCAAGCCTATTTCCTCCATTCATCCCTTCCATTATTTTGCTTTTATGATTTGTCGCATTCGACTCGCGGATAGTGCATCGATTTCGATGACGTAACGAATTACAGAAGAATACGACTATGGGGAATTTTCGTAAAAGCGTATATTGAGAGAGCTATGTCAGTTGCATGCAATGCCAACGTGAGCAATAGTTTGGAAAGTATAATCGAATCGTGTTTGATTAGTTGAATTTCGAGGGAACGGTATAAATCAATGCTCGAGTGCACCCATAAAAAATGTATTAATTAAGGGACGTACATTGAAGTTATTCCATTGAAACTATACCTATGGCTTTGCACGACGATCGGTCGTCGCGTGCAGCTAAACCTTTAATAATAAATATTCAAGAGTCAATTAGCGTATCTAACTGTAGCTGTCTCTCTCTCACTCACTCACGCCATAGCTCTCTTTACGTGTCGATTAATTATCGATTTTCATTAATACACTCTCGGCGTAATGGCACTTTAACGACGCTCCTCAATATTGTGACCGCAGCGCATAGAATTTTTGAGTTCGTGTCTCGCATTATTAACGATGATTTTGCAACGAAAGTGCAGGTTATACCGAATAAAAAGAAATGTTGTCAAATTCGCTCAACGACACTTTCGACACTCAATTATCGTGCTGACGACGCAAGCAATCGAATGCGATTATTCGGCGTAGAATTAAAGAGCATTTTTCATTGTTGTCGAGTTCGCGATTGTCCGAGTTTTGTATATCTCGTTCGTTTAATTGTGAATCGAGCTTTTGCATGCCGATGATGTTTCGGGTATTAAAAGCTCTCGCCGAAATCTCCAACGGTAGTCAAAGGATTTTAACGCATTGTATATAGCGCTTTGGCATACTTGTCATGAAATTCCCAACTCATACCCGTATTATTATTATCATACTACCAGAATCAAAATTTTGGCTCTACTATAGGATTTTATTGTAAGGACAGTATTCACAAGCTCACTGTAATGGGCATAAATAATTCACTCATATTTAATATCAAACGTTATTCATTAAATTAATAAATTAATGTTTAAAAAAATGAGAATTTCGTTACTACAAAGGCAAAGTACAGCAGACGAAGCACATCGCTAATATCGCTCGTGCGTATAACGTCATAAAAGCACAGAAAATTAACGCAAGCGCGTATCTGGCCGGTTGGCTCGCATAAAAAAAAATCACGAGCAGCGAAATGCATATTAAAGTCGCTTGATTGGCGAGCTACTATGCTCTCCCTCTCGCCTTTTTTGTCGTCGAGCCGCTGTCGACCCGTTCACGAGAGCTGCTGCCAGGCCGTTGATTGTAGCGGCGGAGTACGTTAATGTACCACGTTTCTAGCTTGCGGCCTCGACAGGTTATCGATGACGTTACTCAATTACGGAAGATGCATTAGGCCAGTCAAGAGGATAATGTTGAGAGTAGCGAGAGAGGGAGAGAGTTTGGGCTAGAAAATGAGCTGGCCTTTGAACGATAAACTCTGTTTGAATCGCGGCCTCTGTGTGATAGGCAAGTTTCATCTAAAGCTTCAACGATTGAATATTCTGTAAGTAATAAAGGCTTTAGGAAATTCGATATCGATTTTGGGTTATTATATAGTTCATGCTGGCATTTATATATTGCGAACCACTGATCCGTCAAACTCTGTAATATACGTTACCGCTGGTTACCGTATACAAGTTCATTTTACGAAAAACAATCAACTCTATCATACGAGTATCATATCGAAAATCAAATCATCATTCGACACTCGCACTTGCGTTATGTTCATATTTGCTCACGTTAATTGAATGGGCAAACGGACTATCCCCATCTTATTAGACAAACATTCATTTCAACACTAGTTCTCCTCGAAAGGCTTTGATTATATGTAAGCTTTCGCATATAGCACTGTATGTGTGTGTATCTCGCTCTGCGATCATCGCAAGTGCACCATGGAATAAACACGCGCAGCTAGACGCGCTTGAGCTTGACCGCAGCGTAGCTGATGAATTACTGGTAAACTTGAGAAATAATCGGATTTGCTAGTTTGTGCACGCGTTAAATTACTAGTTGCCCCGTATACTACTAGGTGTATCAAGTATTATTGATCTTTGGCCATCAAAATCCGGCTAAAGTTATTTTCATTATTTCAGTTGTTATATCAATATAATCATTTGCGATTTAAAAATGTTAATGAATGGAATATGGTAAAATAAGTGGATTGCCAATATTTGAATCAATCTCGATAATTTCAGTGTTGTCTATTCGATCAATGAAATTGGAATTAGAAACTTGTTTTAAAACTATACATTTGAAAGATGCAAATTAATTTGGATTTTAATAAACGAATTATTACTTGATAACTATACAGACTGGATATGTTACTACTTTTAAGGTTCATTTATGCAAAACTACGATTAAAAATTTAACCATAAAATTTTATTTTACATTAACATCCAATTCGAGACACATTAATACAACTTAAATGCTCGAATTCGGTTAATTATAATGCAATTCAGTATAACTAAA